TCATAGGAATTATAGCAATATCGTGTTTTATTGCAAGGGATGCGTTGCCATGGCAACGGCTTTAGAGGAAAACTCACTAATGGCACATAGACATGTTGAGGGCTGGACCCTTAACTGTCATCTGAAGTCTGGTGGTGTTTTGACCATTTTCATATCAGTTACGACAACATCGAGGGATGCGTTTCTATGGAAACAGCCTATGGTGAGATCTCAGATTTGGCGTAGAGCTGTTGAGGCATGGACCGGTGATATACAAGTGAAGATTGGGGAACGATTGAACCGTGTCCATTGGAGTTACAGCGACATCGTGTTTTATGGCGAGGGATGCGTTTCCATGGAAACGGCATATGATGAAACCCCATAATTTACATAGGGCTGTTGAGGGCCAGACCATTAACCATTATCTGAAGTCTGGTGCTGTTTTAGACCATTTGCATAGGTATCACGACAACATCGTGTTTTAAGGCGAGGGATGTGTTTCCATGGAAACGGCATATGGTGAGATGTCAGATTTGACGTAGAGCTGTTTAGGCATGGAGAGGTGATATACAGGTGAAGATTGTGGGACGACCGGACCGTGTCCATTGGAGCTACAGCGACATCGTGTTTTATGGCGAGGGATGCGTTTCCATGGAAACATATGATGACACCCCATAATTGACGTAGAGCTGTTGAGGGCAAGACCATTAACCATTATCTGAAGTCTGCTGCTGTTTTATGGCGAGGGATGCATTGCCATAGTAACACCAGATTACGTAACATCAGATTTGATGTAGAGCTGTGTTAACCATTATCTGAAGTCTGCTGCTCTGAGCATGTCAGTTGGAGTTATGACATCATCGTGTTCCATGACACAGGTGTTTATATTTGAGCTAATGACGTGTCCAGAGATCAAAGGTTTCCATGGTGATGTACAGTAATCAGTGAGAGGAGAGCATTGTTCTGAATGAGAGATAAACCTCTTACATGTGAACGTTTTGTTGAAGAACCGTCTCAGATATCGGTGAAATGTCAACGTGTGAAGCATGTCAAGGAACTTGAGCATCTGAAGTGTACTTTTTGTGTACTTTTGGGTTAATAATGTGGCCTTTTTGTCAGATTAACTAAAGGTGTGCGGCTGCTGCTGTGAGGAAAGATGAGCTGAGGAAATAATTTCACTTCATGCCCTCAAGAGGCATTTTGTTTAATTTTTTTGCTTAATTTTTTTTTACAAGCTACGAGATGTTTTCCTACGTTTCTCATGAAAAATTATGTCTCAGGAATGTAGGGTTTGGGAATTATGGCAGGTTTAAAAGAAAATATGAAGACAAAATTAAATCTGTCCTGCACTCTAGCTGTGACATCACGCACTCTAAATCTGAAGAAGGCCTCTTTCCAAGGTCTGAACAATGTTTAATATCTCTAAAAGTATGAATCAGATTTAAAAGTTGTGTAACACGAATAATGTCAGAAAGATGTGTAACATTTTAAAGTTGGAATGAGGTTTCTGAGTGAAAGTATGAAGGAGAAGTTAGCAGTTGAAGTTGCATGAAGATTGTTCAAGTCTGAAGAGTTTCTCCATTGACTTCCATGTTAAAAATGTGATGAATTATGGGATGTATCTCTGGAATTTCATTATTATTATGAAAGTATGAAATAGCAATCGATTCCCGACCGAGCTGAACGTTTTGATGTTTGAACGGAGTTTCTGCGATGTGGAATGTGGGAGACGAAGAGCAGCAAAATAACCCGGCGGAATAATAATAAAGAATTGTGTGCGTAGCATAACAGATAGTTGGAATGCTGAATCAGCATTCCCACTAAATTACAGCTGTTAAGTAGACTGAGGGATCAGAGTTTCTTCATTTTTTATTACAGAGAAAATCTTGGCCTTATTGCTTTGGAAACATCTCCCATTCTACTTTTTCTTGCCACTTGCCAGTAATTCTGCTGATTTAATTTATGGTGTTATTTTGTGTGTGTTTAATCACATTAGCTGTAATTGTTGCAGAGTTCCCGTTAGCCGGTAATTACCGGACTATGACCGGTAAAATATGCTGAAGACCGGCAAATCTAAATCTCTCCGGTCAAAGTGTCTGGTCAAAATAATTTCCCCTTAGCGCAATACCGCATCAGTTGCGCCACTTATGTGACAGACAATAATAGTCAATTCTAATGTCTAACATTTATTGTGGAGAAAGAGATGTCCTGTATGGGTTGATTGTGAGTTGATCTGTTGGTAACGTCTCCGGTGGGCATGTAAACAAATGCATAATGCTGCGCTATACTTTGTGGCCTCACCCGGTTGCATAGCGACGCTTATTGTTTAGGTGTCTTTTAATAAGCAGGTAGTCATATCATTAGCTAGAACTAGCTGGATCTGATCGATATGGACATAAACGCGAGTAAAATCTGACGGGAGAGAGAGATCAGCTGCTGCTGACGAGTCGACACGCAGCTCTGCATGATCACATGCAGCGGTAAGCAGAGCAAAACACACTTCAGGTTAGAATATCACACGTAGCTATTTTAATTACCTCTCAAACTACCTAAACTAGTTATAGATATGTTTATTTGTACTGTCGGGTCACTCATTACTGGATACGCGAGCTGCATGATACTGACGGGCTGTCAGGAGAGGGAGAGCGCTCCGTTTATTATTCCTGTGTTATTGTAAGTTACAGTACACGTTTGAATAGTTAATCTACTATAATTAGTTTGTTTAATATCAAATCATAACAATTTGTTTTAAAGCTCAATAAATAACAAAGAAGACCTTTGACCGACACTTTTCTAATTTTGTCCGGAAGATTTAAACTTTAACGGACATTTTGACAAGCAAAAAAACGGGAACTCTGAATTGTTGCGTTATTGCTTGTACAGCACTTCATAACTCACTTAAAATGTGAGTCTGCAGAGGTCTGATAGATATTAAAACCATAGAGATGTGTTGATTAAAGAGATACACAGCTGAGATATGACTAGGCATCATTGTTCTAATTAGAGTTCACTCAGGCCACTGAGAACCTTTTCACCTCTTTTTGCACTCTTAATGATAATTTACATTGAATTAAATTACGTTTTATATGCTTGCAAAGGATATTTATCTTCTTATTTTTAAGAAGAAGCTAATATATTGGCTCTTAAGATACACATATACTCTCTAATAAGAAGGCAATGCCTATACAAATAATGTATAGGCATTGTAAAGACATTTAGACTTGAATATGGCTAAAAATCAAAGATGAGAAATCTCAACACAGATGATGTTTTTTAAGATGCATTATGGTAACTGAAGTTTGCATGCACTAACTAATAATGTATTAGGGATAACTCAATAAGAAAACTCACACATTTAATAAGATTGTCCTTTATCCTGAATAGGTAAATAAATACATATTACTGAGGCAATGTTGACAATAATAAATACTATGTCAGTATTTCAAAAGCTAATCACTCATTCCACATATTCAAAACAAAGACCTGACCATCAAAGACACGCTTTACCTGTGAAGTTAAGCAACACAACCAAATCGTTTTCCCCTTTTAGACACAGAACATAAAGTCAGAAATGGTTAAAGATGAGAATCATCTGAACTTTGGACCGAATTCTCATTCAAGATTCATCAGGAAAGAAGCAATAAGGACACCAAAGCTGCTGCTGGTCTGTTCTGGTTCCAGTCTCTAGTTGGCTTAGCTAGAGCAGCTTATGTCAGAACCAGGTTTGTGCCAATTTGCAAATAGATTGTATTCCAAAAGATGAAAGGCATGATTGAAGAGTTTCCTTTTTCTTACGCCAATCATTTCAACCAACTTGCTATAAGAACACAATGTTATTAAATTGAATCTCTAGAATCTGCGCTATACTATGAGTTGCATGTCCTTCTGCTGAGCCCTGTTAACCAGCACAAGTATGAGTGAATTTTAAAAACTTGCAATGAATTATCTCTTTTCCAATGGGTCTTACAACTAGCATCTCCATTATCTACATTCATGGTAACCAAAAGTTGTTGTTCGCTCCATAGAAACAGTTAACATTATGGATATGATTTTGATTGTGATATTCAAGCTAATTTATTGTCGCAAAAGTGTATAAACTCTTAAAAATGTTTATTCACCTGACAGATTCATACTGAATAATGTCCATTATCCAAGTATGTGAAGTTCTAGTGAAGGGATTAACACTATTGTTTCAAAAATATACACCCGCTTTCATGATGGTCTAGCTGAGAGAGTTATCAAACACATGAAAACCTGTTAAACCAGATCCACTAACATTTCCCAAAGGCTTATTTGAAGTTCCTAAGGTACCACAGGAACCTCTTTAAGGGCCCCTAAAACCCATGAACATCCTCAATTACCACAATAACCCACAGAACGTCCCAACAAATACTAAAACATCTGTTAGGGACCCTAGAATCTGCTTTAGATTATCTAAATAAAAAGAAAACCAAACACTAACAAGTAGTCTTACTGTTCCAGAAAGCTTAGCAGATAATTATATTGGTCAGTCCAAAGTAATCACATAAAAGCGAGCCTACTGTATAATCAATGTCTGTCTTACAGCTGCTAAATGTGTTTTCTGATCAACGGCGGAGAGAAAAACAGAGCCAGTGAAAAAGAAAAAAAACCTCATCCAGCCTAATGAAAGATTGGTTGGTTATTACGAGTCATTACGGCGTGGCTGGGCACAGACCACAGACATTCCTCCTGACAAAACACACTCGCACTGAGGTTGTCAACTTTAAAAAATGTTGCCATCTCTGCAGTTCTTGCTTTTTTTCCTGTACACATTTAAGGGACACTTCAGTCTCTATTTGACTCTTTGTTTCTTTTCCATGTGTGATTTTATTTGGTGTGTCTACCTCTTTCTGTACATCCTGTCTGTGTCTCTCTCTGCCTCACTGCAGATGGATGGTGGGTGGTCAGGAAAGGGTTAAGTGCTCTGCTTTATAAACTCTGCGTTAAGAGTCTGCTGGAAGCTACTGGTTCAGCCTTTAAATACAGTCATTTGACACATCCCAACACAGGCTTGAAGCATAGAGCAGCTGCTGACCCAAACTCAGGCTTTAAAGGCGAGCTGGTGTGTTGGCTTAACACTGCGTTGGACAGCATGAACGCTCTCTTATTCACCTGTTTGCTGGTGCCCTGGCTGGTGGCAGCCTCGGCCAGGAGGTTTGACCAGGAATCACAGCTGATAATGGGATCTGTACCTGGCAAGGATCCGAGCGGATACTTCATTGATCATTTAAAATCAAGGAGAGCTAGGGTAAGAAATGTATTTATTATGCCCTAATTATATGCTAAACTATTTTCTCTTCAATTAATGTGACATACACAAAATGTGCATGCATTTTAAATATGCTTTTCAATGAAGACATTCAAATGAGCTAGTTTATTAATGCTTTAGAATTTTTGGAATGTAGTTAAATGTCAGCAAATACATTTTTGCTTCACTGTTCACTTGTTTAGATAGAATGCAAAAATGTTGGTCAGACCAGTCAAGTGTTCTCTTATAAGATACAATTCTGTTAATAATGAATAATTAAAGTGAGAACAATAAATAACTCAGACAGATGAAAAAGTGGTAGGAATATAAAATGTGACTTTACTTAGTAACCACTATGTAATGCATAATAATAATAAAAGGTAATGAAGAAGGATTACAGGACCTAGTATTATATGTTATGGTTTAGTTATTTTGTCTTCTACTTATGACACACACACACACACACACACACACACACACACACACACACACACACACACACACACACACACACACACACACACACACACACACACACACACACACACACACACACACACACACACACACACACACACACACACACACACACACACACACACACACACACACACACACACACCACACACACACACACACACACACACACACACACACCACACACACACACACACACACACACACACACACAATCAACTAACCACTATTACATCTTGAAAAAATTAAACTCAAAACCAAACTGGTCTGGTTTATCTTTCAGCATACACTTGTAGAAAGTGAAAAACCCACAAACAATCCAGAGACTGAGATGGATAGAATAAGGGTGCTTCATTGAAGTCAACTTTTTAGTTCTTCCCTTTGATTGGTTTGAATGCCAGTCACTTAGTTTAAAAACAAAGGCAGTAGGATTGGGGATTGTTCTATGTTCAGGGATACTTTGATTTGTTACAGCACCTGAAGGGGACCAAGTCAGGGGATGATAATGGAAGATAAACCACCCAAACGTAAGGTGATGTAGAATTCCAACACTTGTTGGATTAAATAATTTTGGTTGCAAGCCCGCGGATAACCCTTTAGACTGGTTAGGTTGAGCATTGAATGCTTTATTGTTGACAAGTTATCCAGCCACGGAAGTTAAGAAAATGTACAGCTGTCCAAAACTCCCGAGGCTGAAGGACGCAAAAGATTGCAACCTCCAGAGGTCCAAAGGCTCATGGGGTCAGGGGCTTGGAATGCACTATACCTTGAACCCAACCCGATTCTCGTTGGCACTCAGCAGCACTTAAGACACTTCTGAAAATATGTATTGACCAGGTATGGTAATTTATCCACAAAATCTCTATCAGAAAGAACACTGCCTGGAATCAAAAGGCATTAACACAAATTAAAAAAGATATAATTCCTTAAGCACTGCAGCCAGCTCATGAATAACTAGAGTCTTTCAGCAGGAAAGGCTTTGGTCTGTCTTCAGCCAGTAGGCAGCTGTGAAATATAATGTGGACTGCAACAAAAAAGCTCTGCCAACCAATAGAGCTTTGGAATCAAAGAGTTGATAATGAGCCAAATGAATGGAGACTGTTTTAGACCAACAGCAGAACTATGTCACAAATTAAAGCCTCCTCATTCATGACAATCAGACCACTGTGTTGGCAAAGTGGGGTGGCCAGATGCAGAGGCTTTGGCCAAAGCATTAGACTTCCTGGATTGCTTTTCATCTTCTGACTTGTACGCTGACACCAACACAGACCTAGGTTTAATTCACCTTTAACAAACTTAAATTCTTGTTATGCCATGATTAACATTGGATTATCCCCTTCAATGTTTACAACTCATTAATGACAAAGCTTTATATTGTTACATTCAGTGTGTACATTGTATTTTCTAATTAAACAATGCCTAAATCTCAGCCTTCATGCCCATTAAATCAAACCTAAACAAACCCTGACAACCTTGTTTAAATGAAAAACTTAATTAACAAAATGGCATTCGTATATTACTAAACGGTTTGAAACCTCTAATTCTTGTTTTTCTTGCATGCCTCCATGATTAACTGGGGCTGCATTTAATAATAGCAGAACTATTCAAAGTTATCAAACAGCACTTTATCAACTCTCGAACAACTCACGCAAAAATAGTGCAAGTCTCATGTATCCAGTCGTGTGCTCACTACTTCCAAACGCATTTGTTTTTTAGTAAAAGCTTGTTAATACACCTGGAATCATCCAGGCTTGAGCGGACTCACAGCGCATCTATGCAAGTATGAGACTTTTTTTTTTCCAGGAGTGTTCAAAATAGTTATACATTAGCATGCTAGACTTAGCAATAGACACTAGTTGCTCAAGAAAAGGACAATGCAGTACAGATATCTGGGATTGTTTTACATCTTCATTTGGTATTTAGCCACAATTTGTTCCAAAAGTAACCAGTCCTAATCCCATCAAATGTCAATGTTTTGTTGTAGCAAAATGATTTGGCTGTAGTATTAAGATGCCATGTTTTCTCCTGCAGAGGGCGTTGCCTCTGGCTGATGAACCTGATGACAGCCCAGTGGAAGCAGGAGGAGATACCTCTGGTAAGAGAAAGACTTACGATTGTGTAGACACAACATCTCATTTAAACAATAGGATAAACTGCTAGCCCATTGTTAAAGATGCGTTCACTCAAATCTGATCATGGTTTGAAGGTCTGGTAAAAACATCAGATTTCTCAGAACAAATTAATCAGTGTTATGTTTGGCTGTGTTGATAGTGGTTAATAATATCCATCCCAAATTGTTTTGTAGTGTTTGGGGAATCTATGCCAAACCAGGGTACCTGTTCCTTTAGGTACTGCACTCAGAACTCAAACAACCTAAAAACAGGGTCTAATTGTATCGTAGAAAAAAAAACTATGAACTGTAGGATAATCATTGTAATTGCAATTACCTCAAGTTAAGTGTTTAAAGGACATTAAAAAACACAAGTTAACCGTATTGCTTTACAGAGATTTAACATACAATTAAATAATTAAAACAAAAAACCTTGACAGGGAACATGGAACAGTGAGGAATAATAGATCAAAGGCTAAACTTTTATTGAGTAACAACTATTGATAATTATCACTGTAACCCTAGTCTGATTTGAATTGAGCTGGATTAAAGATGAAAGAAGTGCTATAGATTCTTCTTCTGAAGACTTTATGTTTGTGTGGTGCCTTTGTGTTGCAGATCTGCCCACCTGCCTGCTGTGTGTGTGTCTAACTGGTTCAGTGTACTGTGAGGAGGTCAGTCCAGACATGACCAGCGTTCCTTCCTTGCCTAAAGAGACGGCCTACCTGTACGCCCGCTTCAATAAGATCAAAAAGATCCGCGCCAAAGACTTTTCCGACATTGGTAAGTCTGTAAACTGTCTCCATCATCACCTGTTGATTGCCTTATTAGCAAAGACTTACAGGCAAAGAATAAAAGCTTGCGATGCATGCTTCGTCTATCTTTGTCTTGTTCAATAATTAGATTTAAATGGTTAGCATTATAGCATGTGTTATCGGATCATGCTGGCCGAGGAAATAATTACAAAAGGCCTGGATACGTTTTTAGAACTAGACCCAAACACGCAACTAAAAGTCAGGCTTTATTGATATCTGCTGCTCATATTTACACTATTAATCTTTCCCTTGAGAGTTTCACAACTTTATGGAAGTGTAAAAGAAAATACTTCCTTAAAAAGGAATAGCTAAGTATCATCAGCGTAGCAACAGTAAGGGATTTTGTAGTGAACAGGGAAAACACTAAACAGCATTTGCTTTTTTAAAAACCGGATAAATAGACTCTCACTTTCTGTTGGCTCACTGCTCATGAACGACATGAAATGTTATGATAAGTGAATAGGTGTCACTCAAATACCAACCAAACAAGGTCAAGTAATGGCTGCCGGTCATTCTCCAGTCTAAGTGGGTAAACATCAGAGTTCACTTTTTATATTTGGTGTTGAAAGCACTGAATGTGATGCATCTGGGGTAGAAAATACACAAAGACGCTGGTCTATGTAGCTGCACTTTATTAATTAGCTGGTCATCTGGTCTATGTTTTGGTCTCTAAGAAAAACTAGAACATTCCGAAAAATGTTGACTATGTGACTGAAACTTGGGCGTGCGTCCCGATGCTAACATTACCCCCGCTTTGTAAGTATTGATAGCATTAGTTGTAGTGTTAAGGTACAACAAAGAATATCCCATCATTTTAGCTCACATTTAGCTGACTATTTGAAGTGTTTATCTATTATATTTTTGGATTCTTTTACCACATTCCTGCATCGTTTCTGAACATCTTTACCAACAGATTACTACTGGATTTAGTTAACGACAGACAGGTGTGTTCAAAGATCAAAGCGTTTTTTGTACAGCTCCTCTCCCCTCTAGCCGTGATGTCACCCACTCTAAGTCTTAACGAGCTCTCCCATTCATTCCTATCGGGCAAATGATCGCAGTTTTCTGCGATTTGCGTGAAAACGGTTTGGCGAATCTCTTATAAAAGACATAGCAACCCGATCCGGTCATTCCGCACATTTGTGCTGCTGTGATGTGTGTTTTGTGTGTTTTGTGTCAACGCTGCCGGACGAGTAGCGTGACAACATTTGTGGCAGAAGAAGGAGAATAAGATGAGATAAGTATGTTGAATACTATACTGTACGTGGCTTCGCCAGTCACACAGAACTACACAACTGTTGTAAGTCCTTACTGCATTTCTTAAATAGAATGCTTAACACAAAGGATAAAATACGAAACAACATTAATATGATGGATCTCTCAACAGTTACTCTGAAGAGGATTGACCTGACAGGGAACCTGATCTCAGAGATTGAAGAGGGGGCGTTCTCCAAGCTAACCATGCTGGAGGAATTGTCTCTGGCGGAGAACAGCCTGGTCAAACTTCCTATGCTCCCCACCAAACTCATATCCTTCAACGCCAACCACAACCATCTCAAAACCAAGGGAGTCAAAGCTAACGCTTTCAAGGTACAAATACACATCTCTCAAACTTGTTTTGATTAATAACATAACATACTTGGCCAAGATTGCAGAAAGCTGCACACACTCATTAAACCTGGCTGTTGTTAAAACAACAATCAGATGCAACTCTTAACCTAAATGATTTGGGTAATTGTTAACAAATGAATCTTTATGCTGATAATATTTTTCATCTCATCATATATATGTAATGAATGTTTACTAAAATGTTAAAGCATCTATAAAAGTCACGACTTTGCTAGACTTTACACCCAGGTATGCTTTTTTATTTACACGTTCACTTTCCACACAGTGAAAAGAAAACTAATAAACAACTCAACTGAATCTTTTTATTTCTTTGCTTCCCCATCAGAAAATGACAAAACTGGTCAACTTGTACTTGGCAGACAACGAAATGGAAGCTGTTCCACACATCCCAGACAGTGTTCGGACCCTACATCTACAGGTTCGTATCTTTTGCTGCTAAAATAAAATAAAAAGTCTTTGGAGACTCTCCAATAGTGGTTCAAGTTGCTGTCTTCTAAATTGATTATAAAACAGAATACAATCATGAATATACTTCTTTAACATAATGAGCTAGACATAATACGCTGTTACTTGACATTGTTTATATTTCCTCCAGAACAACAACATCACTGAGGTCAACGTAAACACCTTCTGCAAGTCCAATGACACCTACTACCTACGGCCGAGCCTCAATGAGGTCCGTATGGACGGCAACCCTGTGGTTTTGTCCAAGAACCCGGACAGCTTCACCTGCATGAAGGTTCTGCCTGTCGGACGGTACCGCTGAGGCGACAGAAACTTTACTGTACCCCCTTTGTTGTTGATGGAGCATTGGGATACCGTGTTGTTCTGGATTTTGGGGTGCTGGTCCCATAATGGGAATAAACGTGACAATGTTTTTACTTCAGCAAACCTACAAACAGTTTGTGAGATTGTCAGGTCAAAATGAAACCATTCACTGGACTGAAGGTTTAAAATGTAAGGACTTTCTCTACTCACGCATATTTCAGTTGTCGAGTCAGTCGAGTAATTGGATCAAAATCCCCTGAGAAGGGGTGTGAAAGCCTAAATGTGCTCCAAACAAGCATTGCCGGACCACTTAAAACATTTGCATTTCAACTAATCATGAAAGAAGTTTGAACACTTCCGCACACCTGGCCAATCACTCCGTATGTGTTTGTCAGATTGTCTGTTTTGCCAACATAGCCTTTGATTCTGCCATCAGAAAAGGGGCTTAAGAAGATGTTAATACATCGTGCAAACAGTTTGACTATATCTGACAGATTAAGGCCAACTTTTCAGAAGACGTAATACCAGTAGAACAACTGTATCCCCTAAAATGAGTGGAGAGGTGTAAACACCTCTACCTACTAACAGTCCGACTCATGATTTCATTTTGACCTGGCGCTGTACTGCCTACAGTACATGAATGAAAGTACACAAACTCCTTGTGAGTTTGGACCAACACACACACATGCAGCAACAAGCAAACAGGCGTGCTTGTAACTACCAGAACTTATAGGTTCAAAACACAGGCCAATGTCTTCATATTCTTTGTGAAAATAATTCTAAAATAATTTTTGGATTTCTTTCCAAAAGTTACTTTAAGTCGTTAAACAAACAAGATATAACTAAAACCTTTTGGATATCTTTGCTGCTTTTGCTAACCTAATGAAGTCTCTTGGACAAGTGTTAACCCTTTCATTTTTAAGGTTTTACAATACAATTAAACAACTCAATGTTGTATAATATTACAACAATTAAAATGTTTTCAAGCCTTATAAAGCCAGCTCTGTTTTCACCTTGCTCATTGTCGGTCATCAGGAATTTCATTTGGACAGACGTCAATGAAATATCAAAAATAATACATGACCGAATTGCAGTCTTTGATTATGTGTAATATTGGTGCTGAATGGCATTTCAAAATGTCCATACTAAAAATATAGGCTGGCTTTGAGGCAAACACATAATGTTAAAAAAAACGTTTTCAAAACAGAATTTTAGTCTGACACAATCAAATGAAGATGTTAAAATGTTTTTGCTTATTCCAATTCAAGTATGTTTTGCATTTAATATATTTTCTTATGACAGTAGTAGAAAAAGCTACAGTATCTTCAAAATTACAATTCTATAAGTCATGAAAAAAGGTAGATTCTGAAATGGCACTTAAAGGTGCAAAGAGCCTTTGAGCATTATTAACAGTCCTCTTTATTTGTTGTTACATTTTTGTCACATGTAAACACTTTCTCAGTGTTTCTTAGAAAGATACTACAAATGAACAAAACATTGAGTGAATTAATTGAACTTTCAACTATAGCATTTTTTTTTTTAAAGGCCTCTTTATAAGGGCAATGGCCATGCAGATTTGTGCAGAATTTCTTAAGTAATTGAGTGACTTAGCTTCACCTTTTTTATTTATAGACTGCAGTGAACTGGGGCACAATGTATCTATGAACTATAGTAATGTGAAAATTACTCTTTTTTTATTTTGTCTGCTTTTAAAATGTCTTGCTTGTGTCCCTAACTCTTCCCTTCCAGTAATAAAGATGACTTAAGAAATGATTACTGATGTGAATAAGACAGTGATGTTCAAGGAGATGTATGTGACATGGCTATGTTTTAAAATATTTTAATAAAGTTACACTTTTTAAATTAAAATACTTATTGAGTTATTACATTACATTACATTGCATTTAGCTGACGCTTTTATCCAAAGCGACTTACAATAAGTACATATTGTTGCCAAATACAAAACTTTCAAAATCTTATTTCAGATTAAGCTATCATTTGTAAGTTGTATTTAAAACTACTTGCTGATATCACAATTTTAAAGCCCCACCAGGAGCACAGCAAAAACAGAAGTGCATTACACCATTGCCCATGACTAACTGGAGAGTGTGCTTGTGTTGTGCATCTGTGTGCAGATGCCCACAATTGCAAAATGCCATTCAGTGATTGGCCACATGCTTTTAAATGTCTGTGGTCTGTGTACATGGCCAAGTTGCCAGACATCATCTGCAGTCCTTAACTGGCTGGTTAATGTTGCGGTTTAGCAACAGGAATGCAATGTATGAGAATTCTATGTGAATTTGTTATTCTTCTCAATACATGTTTATGTCTTTATGTCATTAATCATGAAAATCAGCATACAAGGCACTGCCCACACTACAGCAGAATCGTTACAATGGGAATTATATTTGTTTCCATAATAATACTGAAGAAAATGCAACTAAAGCAAAAACTAGAGTTTAGAGCAAGCAGGCCACTTTGGAAAATGTGGGTTAATCTTCTTTCAGCGCAGCAAACTTGGCAGAACTTGATATTCTTCAAGTAAACAGGAGAATGAGATCCATATTGTATCTGCGGCTTCACTTACCATTTGACATCTTGCTGCTACCCCTTCAATAAAGTCCCACTCAATATTACTCGATATATACCATGTCGACATTGATTCACACAAACAGCACTTACCTTAATTTTCATACTCTTTTATCAGCCAGAATCCAAGCACTTTACAAAAAATACTGACTTTGGAGGTGTCCTGACTGATGGACCGTCTGCTCTCAAATATTACAGGATGGACTGATCTCGTCCCCAACAAATAATGCAGAGATGTAATTTAGCAACAAGTAAAAATATTTCCCTCATGTTTGTTATGCTTTTTGGGGTTTCCCCTTTCCGTGTGTTATATAGGTTTTTGTGCATGTAAATGGTCTGCAAAGGCTCAAATGCCAAAGTTCCCTACAGAGGGAATTTCTCCCAACACCCTCCTCCCCTGACTTAACGCCTCCGTTGGACTCCTTTGTTTACTTCCGTAACATAATGACATCACTGTGCAACACTCTATTGGCTAGCACTCCAACACATTGTACGTGATCGGCTAAGGGGCGGGACATCTCTAAGCGGATGACCAATACAAATATCAACCTGAGAATAAGCATATTATGTCCCCTTTAAAAAAAAAAACTAAAGAAAAGCTGTGGCCATGTCATAAGGCAAACATTCTGCCATGTTTCCCACAAATGTGATCAGTGGTGTTAAGGGACAAGCACCAACCTGGTCCAATCCTCTATATTTGTTGTGAGGACCAAAATGGTTTATCATGCCAATACACACAAATGGTGGAAAGCAGGTGTGTGTGGGTAAGGTTGCCAGATTAAGGTCCATTTAGGTGCAGGTGTCTCTTTAATTACCTGGAAGTGTTGGAAGGTTCTGAGCCGGTCCTTACATCTGTCTGAGAAGGTCCTGAGAGTCCTGAAGAACAGCAGAAGGTCCCTGCTCTCCTCCACCCTGAAATGACATAGAATGCATCATTGACATTTTTTTTATGGAATGTTAATTATTTCAATTGTTGATCGATAAAATGTATACGAAATACTTGCGATAATGACAGCTTTTTCATTAAGTCATATTGAGTACATTGACACTCTTAGAATTCAAAACTGTGGTTTAGTCTTGGATCACGTTAGCAGAGTAGCAGTGTGTTCTCGAGAATGGGAAGGACACACGGAAACCCCCAAAAGGATGCTCAAGGATTAGCTTTTCAATCAACAAACATTTTCATTCAGTTATGCTTTCTTGGCCAATGCGCCTTTTTTAATACAAACTACAATTTACCAAGGCAGTCAGTCTTTACTGAAAAGGGTTACATTTGAAGACTTTTGCCTTATTATAAGAACATTATGGACGAACAAGGTTTAAATCCTATGTAAATCACTATGCTTTGACTCAAATGCATTATAATTATTACGATATTTCCATTAAGCATAACTGTGTTGTATCTCCAAATGCAAGAGCAAACCATTCATTTACAAGCAGACCCATCCAAACTACCTATACAAAAACAAAAGTATATTACAAAACGGTTCTTCCTTATATGCAATATGCTGTATTTCACAATGCTATAGCAAAAAGAGCATTGCTCTGTCTGATGAGTGAGCCTGGGATATTCTGTTACAGGTTTTCCAGAGTTTTCCATGGGGGCCCGGGGCTAGACGGCAGCCGGGTGAAGTTTCCAGACGACTGTTATTCCGCGCAGAGCTGATGGAAACATGGCTCACATAAAATGGAGCATTACCAAAAATACAAAGAGAGTGAGGGACTGATCGTTGGTTTGATATTGTTGTTTTTAAGTGATTTGGTCCAACTCCTTGTGTATTATTCAGTTTGATTCAGTGAACCAACTATAGTGGTTGTTAAAACCTTTTCATGGAGCGAGTTTGATGATGATTTGTGGGCTTTGAAATGTGGAAAATATAGGCGTTTATTAGTGTATCATCCAAAATGAGCAGCTAAATGTTCTGGCAGCAAACCGTGGAAAAAAACATCAAATTAAAACAAACAACACTTTGACTAGAAGCTATTTTGGTTTTGATTGGAACAAAACAAATACTGAGCTCAATACCCAGTCCTGCAGATATTAGGGCTGCAACCTAAAATAAAAGTTTTTGAGTAAATTAAAACAAACTTATGTTGTTGAATGCACATTGAGCTCATTTGAAGTGTATTCACTGCTTCACTGAATGAAAATTAATAACTTACTCAGATTTGGTGTTGTGATCATCTTTTTAGTATGGCTTTGTCTGCTAATTTTCAGGTTCATATTTGAAGTTTGTGCTTCTTCTGTGACATGTCTGTCTCCATGCTTTAATGTTCAATTAGGTCTTTATTTTCTGACACTGCCTGTGCTGCAGCACCTCTGTTCACCCTCTGTCTGAAACCAGAGCCCTGTTTGCTCTGATTAGAGTGCTAGCCTGACAGAAACAATGAGGGGTTACGTATGGTAACCCTTGTTATATAAGCACAGGCGGAGCCCTCTACTGGACTCTATGGGTACTACCCCTTGATCATATCATGCAAGCATTCATCCACTGAGACTTCTATAAACCTAGCCGGCCCCGGGGCGGTCCTACCTGAATGCGCTCGCATTTCACCGTATAAAAGGAGGCCTCGCCTCCTGACTGTCATCCTAAACCTCTCTTCAGCGAGCGGCATAGGACCGACAGGGCCCCGAGTAGAGGGCTCCGCCTGTGTTTATATAACAAGGGTTACCATATGTAGCCCCTCGTTATACAGTGGGGCAAACAAGTATTTAGTCAGCCACCAATTGTGCAAGTTCTCCCACTTAAAAAGATGAGAGGCCTGTAATTTTCATCCTAGGTATACCTCAACTATGAGAGACTAAATGAGAAGAAAAGAAAATCCAGAAAATCACATTGTCTGATTTTTAAAGAATTTATTTGCAAATTATGGTGGAAAATAAGTATTTGGTCAATAACAAAAGTTCATCTCAATACTTTGTTATATACCCTTTGTTGGCAATGACAGAGGTCAAACGTTTTCTGTAAGTCTTCACAAGGTGTTCACACACTGTTGCTGGTATTTTGGCCCATTCCTCCATGCAGATCTCCTCTAGAGCAGTGATGTTTTGGGGCTGTCGCTGGGCAACACGGACTTTCAACTCCCTCCAAAGATTTTCTATGGGGTTGAGATCTGGAGACTGGCTAGGCCACTCCAGGACCTTGAAATGCTTCTTACAAAGCCACTCCTTTGTTGCCCGGGCGGTGTGTTTGGGATCATTGTCATGCTGAAAGACCCAGCCACGTTTCATCTTCAATGCCCTTGCTGATGGAAGGAGGTTGTCACTCAAAATCTCACGATTCATTCTTTCCTGTCTCTCTCTCTCTCTCTCTCTCTCAGACTTGGAGAAGGCATTAGTGTGTCAGAATCATTATCTCCAGTATTTTTCCATTTCTTTTTTGCCAGATTCTGCAGACTGGACGATAAAATCCAGATGTGGTTTGGTTTCAGATATAGAGCAAATCAGACTGCTGCTCTGGTGTGTTGATCCACTGACAAAACGGACGCCTTTGAGCAGACTGTGGTTATCAGGAGAGACAATGCACCTGAGCATATACACACAACAGCTACAGCAAACAGGACTAGGACATCTTAACTTGGATCCATCATGAGTTATTAGATGCTCAGATGAATACTGATTAATTAAAGGACAAATGATTTGTTGCATGTTGAATCATTTAAAAATATATTTGTCAACTGCTCTGGTTATTAAAACAATATAGGGCACCTGTGAACGACAGCATTTGTGGTAAAATTACTGATTCTATGATGCACGTTGCTTCATCAGATTCTGAAATTTGGAAGTGCATGGTATTGTTTGGCAGTGTGAAAAGCAGTGAGGGTATGGTATAGTCAAGCATATGTTATCCATGTATCATTAACAGATTTATAATTTAAAATCACAGATTTTCAGATGTTTTCAGACTGCCAACTAATTCCATGGTCTTCCATTAAAAGTAAACTGTTCATTCCCTCTTTGCCTATCTTTTAGGAATATCTATTATAAATATATAATTTACTTTAACATCACTAAACCTGGCAAAAAAAACTGAGAAAAGACCCCTTAAATTATGACTTCTGGTGATGTTAGGGGGGAGGGGGGGGGGGAAGGACAAATTGAGGCTTAAAAATATGAGAAGACTGATCAATACCTCCATAATCTTCAGTGTGGTTAGCTATGAATCTTCCAAAACTTCCAAACATCTTGTCCTGGACATAGTTTCTACAGTATAAACTGTGCAACAGTACAGTAGGCTCACACAAACTGCAGAACACCGGGGCTTTGGGAGCACTCAAAATAACTTAAAATGATTTAATTCCCATTTAACCTGTTAAGGGGCTTTTCCCCCCGTTTCTTTTCTCACGAAACTGTGTCTCAGGGCTTCTTAAAATGTAATAAACTATTCATGTGTCCTACTCATTTAACGGGAAGAAACTCAGCTAACTGATAATATGAACCATGTTTATCGAAACAAAACACAAGTCTCACAAGAAGAGTCTAAATGAGTCCCGAGCGAAAAAATGCTAACGCACTCTAGGTATAAATCAATCGATATACTTATCGGATATGCACAAACAAGCTTAGCTAACAAGCTGAGATTCCACATATTCTAGAAATATAAGCATCATCACTGAGCGATCAGAACTCGCGACAGGGGAAGAAAATACAGACATCACACGACGTAGCTTTAGGTAGCAAAACACGGAGATATGCTCACCTTTTGCTGTTATTCTGATCAAAAACGAGAAAAACGCGGCTGAAGAATAATCCATAGGTTAATCCAATGTGTCTGTCACTTTGAAAAAATTATTGATAATCCATAATTCCATTTTTATGTCAAAAACTGAGTTTACACATTAGCTACTAATGATAGCTTCCAGAGTGTATGACAGCTTCCTGTTTTGTCTCCTTGGATACGAGTCCAAACAATTCACAGACTGCACCGGGCGCTGACGTAGGCGCCCTGTGACCATCAGATTTGACGATGCTGATTGGCTGAAAAAAATGTCGGCGCCATAGTTTAAAGATAGCAACAGTTGGCTTCTGCTGCACTTGCTGCACTCTCGTCTGGGCGCTATGCACAGCGCCCAGATGAGAGAGAGTAATGATACACGGGCAAGGCCAGGCAGGAAACATGTGACTTATCAGTAACCTTAGACATCGTTACACAATTTTAAACGAGATTTTATTGTAGATTATACATTTTACTGATACCAATTATATAATTGACCTTGTTTATTAAAAATATATATATATTTTTTTTTAATGTGGGAAGAGGGGGGGCGGCGCCCCTAGCGCCCCTATGGGCCAGCCACCACTGGAAGTAGGGCATATGTACTACAGCGTTTCCAGCATTCTCGTGTCAACGGACAAGTTAAATGAATCGAATGCGTGTGAACGGAAGACTTTTTTTTATGAAAACGCAAACGTTCCCGTGTAAATGGGGTCTTAGGCCCCGGCCCCACGAGGACGAAACGGGTTGTATCTGCATAGTTTCTCTTGCGTATAGCCCTTTCGTTTACACAAGGTCGTAACAAAACGATAGAAACGGACCCCGCAAACGATAGCGGGTCCCAAAGTGCAGATCTGCAAACAAAACGCTCTGGGAGGGGCAAACGGCTCCGTGTTTACGCCTATACGATCATTTCCTGATAATGTTGAAGCAATAGCCTCTCCCCACCTCTCCTGCTCAGAGATCAGCTGCTGGCCTATCAGAAGAGGGAGAGGAAAAGAGAGGCTCCGTTTTTTATTCTTATATTATTATATAGAGTCGTTATTCATTTGTTTTAAAGCTCAATAAATAACAAAGAAGACCTTTGACTGGCACTTTTCTAATTTTGTCCGGAAGATTTAAATTGTAATGGACATGTTGACCGGCGAAAAAAAATCGAACTGAAACTCTGTTGCAAGGTCCCCTCATCTCTTGAAAGAGGGGGATAGGTGGGTGTTATTCATCTGCTGGTGGAGTACCGGAGAGATTTACAGCAGGAGCAAACGCTTGCCTCGGGGAGGGAGAAAAAGAGCCAGAGCGTCCACAGCGGAGAATAAATAGAAGGGCAACCATGGCAACCATGCGCGGGGAAGTCTTCTTCGCTGCTTTTGTGGCAGGACTACAGCGCCACTTACAGGCATATGTACTACAGCGTCTCCAGCGCTTTTGAGCGGTCTTGTGCGAACGGACAAGTGTGGACGGAAGACTTTTTTGATAACGATTGCGGTCCATTTGCGTTATCGTCCTCGTGTGGCTCCAGCCTATGGCCTCACACTCCATGAATGACCGACGCCTTGCTAACCGGCTGAATCAGTTTTACTGTCGCTTTGAAGACCAAGAGGACAGCACTGACACCAACCCCCATGACACCTTCCAACAGCGCCAGTCCCACACTTCCCCGCCACCACCCTATCAGAGATCTGCTCCCCCACATCACTGTCCTCCCCTGACACATCAAAGACTCTCTCTATCAATAGGCGCTTTCACAGCAAGTACTTTTCCCAGGAATAGTTCCCGGAACTTAGTTCCCCGGAAATCTTTAGTTCCGGAACTATCTAAGATCGCGTTCACACCGGAATAAGTCCCTGAGGGAGGATTACGCAAATGAAGGCGCTGACGTCACTTCTGCTTTGGGTTTACTGGCAGGCCACAAACAACTTCACGGCGTATACTGCCACCCAAAGTCCCCGACCTGAAGTCTCCGGAGTTGGGGACTGGCTTCAGTTGAAGCCTTCAGAGTAAATAGCCAGAAGCACCGACACCTCCTCATCACTCCACCGCTCCCATGTTTTGCCATAAATTAGTCTCTCTCCGTTGGTGCGCTGGGCTAATGCTAATAATGCTAATGCGAGCAAATAATATGTTTTACGGGGCGTGGTTTGCAATTCGCCCAGCCAATCAGAAATTGGAACCTTTTTCTCCCCAGGAAAGTCCCTGCTCTCTAGCAGGGACTGAAAAGGGGTGAAAAGGTTCCCGAAAAAAAGTTCAAGTTCCAGATCTTTTTGGTGTGAACGCAAAATCCCCGGAACTGTCAGAACTATTCCTGGGAAAAGTACTTCGGTGTGAAAGCGCCTCATGAGAGTGAAGTAAACAGACACCAGGAAAAGCTGCTGGCACGGACAATGTCTCCCCCTCCACCCTGAAGCACTGTGATGATCAGGTGGCCCCAGTTTTTAGAGACATCTTCATGCCACGTTCCAGCATGCTTCAAATCCTCCACGATCATCCCAGTCCTGAAGAAAACAAGGATCACAGGATTAAATTACTACAGACCTGTCGCCCTGACCTCTGTGGTTATGAAAACCTTTTAGCGTCTTATCCTGTCCAACCTCAAAACCATCACGGACCCCCTCCTGGACCCCTGCAGATTGCCTCCAGAGTCAACAGGTCAGTAAACGATTCTGTCAACATGGCCCTTCACTTCCTCCTCCTCCACCTGGACACAGAAGGAACCTACGCCAGGTTCCTGTTTGTGAACTTCAGCTCTGCGTTCAACACCATCATCCCGGCTCTGCTGCAGGATCTCCCAGCTGCACGTGCCCGACTCCACCTGCTGGTGAATCACAGACTTCCTCTCCGACTCTGACCCCCAGAACATCAGCACTGGTTCCCCTCAAGGCTGTGTTATTTCCCCTCTGCTCTTCTCCCTGTACACCAACAGCTGCACCTCCAGTCACCAGTCTGTCAAGCTACTGAAGTCCGCAGACGACACCACCCTCATCGGACTCATCTCTGGCGGGGACAAGTCTGCCTTCAGGTGGACCGAACATCTTGTGACCTGGTGCTCAACGCTCTCAAGACAGTGGAGATGGTTGTGGACTTTAGGTAGAACACAGCCCCAGCTGCCCCCATCCCTCTGTGTGATTCCCCAGTAACTGCTGTGGAGTCTTTCTGCTTCCTGGGCACCATCATCACCCAGGACCTCAAATGGGAGCAGAACATTAGCTCCCTCACCAAAAAAAGCCCAGCAAAGGATGTTATTCCTGCGGCAGCTGAAGAAATTCCGCCTGCCAAAGACGATGATGGTGAAAATCTACACCACCATCATCGAGTCCATCCTCACCTCCTCCATCACCATCTGGTACGCTGCAGCGTGTCATCCGCTCTGCAGAGAGGGTGATCGGCTGCAATCTGCCATCCCTCCACGACCTGCACGCCTCCAGAACCCTGAGGCGGGCAGGGAAGATAGTGGCCGACCCCTCCCACCCTGGACACAAACTGTTCACCCCCCTCCCCTTGTGGGAATTTCGAGAAAGAAAGAAAATAAATAAATCACAATTTCAGTTTTATTAGAACAACATTGTGAAGTCCACTTAAAGAATTGCATAAAGAAGCAATTTTACGAGTTCCTGAAGTCATGTTAAGTGTTCATTTAAAACATTTGTCAACCAATTATAGCAATTGTTTTTTTTTTAAAAACTGAAATACTGTATCTTTCAAAATATATGACACTATATTCCACACAATACTTCTCACAGGGTTATCTGTTTGGCACAGTATGGTACCAAAAAAATAAAAAACAACAGTTGAGAGAGATTGAGGACAAACAGAATATGAAATAGATCAGAGTGACAGATTATTTTAAGAATTGCTTCCAGTTCAGTACAGGATACGACCTGTCCTGCATATACATATAGAATTCTGTCTTCAAACTGAACATTTTAGAGATAAAATAAAAACAAGCCAGTTTAAAAAGGGATTTGATGATTAACAGGGTGAAACAGAGATTATTTGCTGATTTATCATTTGTAATCCACTTGCTTTAACACAATGAATCATCTTCCCCTCTAGCGTAAAACGCACCTGGTAGAAAATTAATGATTCATATTATTGCTGAGTAAACCTCCACAGACCAGACTGAGCCCAGATATTTTTCATCAGTCACAGCTGGATGAGAACAGGTGTGACTAATGCTAATCATGGCTGTGCTCCAAATACAGGTGGGCGGGCCAGTGAGCCCAGCACAACTAAATGAAATGCAGCCTTTGCGAAAGTAATGATTTACAGTAAATGTGTGCCGTGAGAGAGGCTTATTGTTTGTGAGTAAAGAGCAGACTGAGAACAAGTACAAGTGTAACTGAGGGAGTTCAGCTGGACCACAGCCGTTTGCAGTTTCACATTTTCTACTTTAATAAACACTTCAACTAAAACAGGCAGCTTCATTTTGATATCCCAAATTAAATATGGAGAGCTGGACTGAGCCAAACTGACAGCGTAAATAATTAACAACTCACTGGCCAGAAACACCGGTCATAACGAACCAATTACGTTATCTATTTAAGTCAACTCTAAATCACATTTGATTAACTTCAGTTTAGCAGACTTTATACTCCACATGGCAAGGGATTTGCTCCCATTCAGCCACAAGAGCATTAGTGATGTCCAACATGGCTGGGGCTGCACAATTTTGAAAAAGATAAACTGATTGCGATTATTTTGACTGTAATTGCACTTTTGACATGATTTGCGTTTTTAGAAGAATAATGATTAGTCGCATTATTATTGAAATATATTATAAAATGAACATGTTTGGATTTCGTAAGAGCATATGTATGTACCAAACATGGATTTTGGTTGTATATAATGTTTGACTTCTCTGCAACACCACAATACTTTATTGATATATTGTCACTTTTTTTGCCTTAACCGAATATTGGGCATACTGCGATTTGGATATTGCATTAGTCTTTATTAAAAAAAAACGCATTTATTCATGTCCTGGGCCCAGGAGTTCAAAACTTTTAATCCCTATCTGATCGGATCAGATTTGGATTTTGGGGAGTTCAAAACAAAAAAACAGGATTAGGATCACTTTGATATCCGATCAGATCAGGAAATCCAATCCAAGCTTTAATCTGGATCAAATCTTCAAAACGGGTAGTTCAAACCGACAACACAGGATCGGGATCAGTTTGATCAATCCTGATCCCACCAGAGGGGTGGATTTCCAGTGGATTACCAGAGCGAAATGTACTGTACAATTTATTTTAAAATATGTTTCAATTTAAATAAGATGGCAAAGTTTGTTAACTGAAATAATACACAATGTTTAGCCTTCATGGGAAATACATTTTATTTTTTGCTCACGTTTGTGGTGGCCTATTTTGTTTTCAACCAAATCTTGAGGACATAAATGTTTATGTTCATAAAAGTATCACAACAAAGATTGTCAATCACAAATGTAATTTAGATTAAAGTAAAAATATCTTCAACAAAAAAAAAGTCCATCATCTGTCATCACCTTTCAAAAGTAATTGTGGAAAATAGATGTCTCTGCAATGTGGTCTCTTGTCTTCCTTGTATTATTTGTCATACCCACTAGATGGCGATCGGTAGGATTAAAGCACTGATATTCAGGATCTAGTAATCTTGAAAAATCGTAATCTGGATCAGGGTGATCCTATCCTGAATTGCTTTGAACTCCAGGGACAAAATCTGGCCGACTTGTCTGATCCTGGATCACAAAAAAATGGGATTTCAAGATCGGATCTGATTGAGATTAAAGGTTTTGAACTCCTGGGCTCTGGGCATCAGCACAGGAAAGTTACACAATTCCCCTGGCGGCTCTTATCTTAAAAAGCATTTGGTGATCTTCATTGGAAAGGGCTTTCATGTGAAATACATTTATTATTATTAGAATTAAAAAAGTCCCAGACTCAGCTTTAAGATGTCACCTAGACAGGACAGTCCAAATACTTCTGGCCAGAGAAGCTCACATGATGTTTTATCACAAGCAAAGTCAGAAATTGTACATAAATGTGAGCATACCTTTAGTGAAGCTTTGATGTATTTCACACAATTCCTTTGATTAATTCATACTGATTATTACAAGTATTAACTAATTAATCACCAAGAGGTTGATCCCTCTGGTTATTCCAGATCATTGGAGATGATGCGGCAGAACTTGTACAGTTTTGTTAGTTCTTACCCAGAGAGGAAACTGCTAAATGGCTGCAGGTCGCTGGCATCGATCACCACATTCAGATCACTGATGGTCTTCTTCAATTGTTCATCCTTCTGCAGGACAAAACACACCGTCAACTACTTCGTCGTTTTCTGTAAACCAGTCTGTTTTCAGAGTTAATTGTATCTATCTTTCATGAGGAGTGACAAAATAACAGACAAAATAATTCCATAATCCATAGCGGATGATAGTTAAACTTCAATAAAAGCTGTACATTATAAGATTCATTATTTTAATACATTAAATACAAAAGTAAATACAAGCAACACTAGAAGATATATACCTGGTGTACCTTATAAACTGCCCTAAAAAAAAAAAGTGTATGTTTATAAAAATGACTGTTGCAAAAATGACAAAGCCAAATAAGGAATGCCTTTATCAAAACAAGATAAGACATAAGTAGATATACTATAATGTTTAATGATAGCCAGGGAGGAGGAGAGATTCAGAGAAACCAGCTGTTCTGGTGGCCCATCCAGGCAGAATAACAACCAGAAGACTGCTGGACCAACATAAAGCAGGTTTACAGATTTCCCTACAATAAAACAAAATTACTCCTGACTGTACATAACAGGATATTGACTGCTTTTGAAGGTCACCCATCTTTTTTTAAATATGTAATGATCCAAAATGTGCTTCTGACTGGCCCAATGGGGAAATCTATCCTTTTTTTGGTTAAAGGTCCCATGACATGGCCATTTCTACTGATCATAATTCCATTGTTGAGGTCTACTAGAATAGATTTACATTGTTCAATGTTCCAAACTCACATTGGTTTCTCACAGTATCTCTGTATAGTATGTGTATTCACTCTTTGTCCTAAACAGCTTGTTGGAGCTCCTGCCCCCCTCCTCCCTATGAGCCCACTGTGCTCTGATTGGTCAGCTCGCCCACTCTGTTCTGATGAGTCCACCACCGTTACAGCGGAACATCAGTGATTATGTGTTACAATGGCGTTTGTTAGCAACCAGAAAATGACACCAGTAATGACAAACAGATGAGAATGCTGCGTGGGGTCTGGGTGCCGTGTTGGTGGGACGTTGCGAGGACAGTGTGAGCTGGGTTCATTTCCTGCTTGCTGCGTGGGGTCTGCGAGACAGCGAGACATCGTGAATGGGCGCGGGAAGGGGGGGTGCTGAGGGGGCTTCAGCACCCCCATCTGCGAGGCTCCACTAGCACCCGCACCCCCTAACGCGACGCACCTACAGTGTAAGCGCGCCACAGTTTCGCCGCTGCGAGGCTCCACTAGCAATTTCACTAGTTGTTGTGACTGTAAAATATCATGTATAGCTGCTTGTGTTTAGACAACATTTAACGAAAGAAGGGTTCTGCAGAAAAACATGTTTATATTTCTCAAAGTAAGGTATAAATAAAAGGATTGTTTTTGCATTGTTACTGTAACTCGGGCATCATATTTCAAAGGATACCCAGCTCTAACTGGAGGAAATGATACAACATATTTCTGGTGCACGAAACAATAAGAGGTGACGAGTAAAATATGAAAAAATGACAGTTCTCTAATATTAACTTAGTCGGAGTGACCAGAAAATGACAAACACCAGCTCCCAAATCGGAGGGTCGATTGTCAGTCCCTGGTCCCTACAGTCGAAATGTCTGAGTGTCTTTCGGCAAGATACTGAACCCCACATTTTCCCTGTAGACATTGTGTGTGATTTCTTTAGAAGTCTTTTTGAGTTTGGATACAATTGCAGCTAAATGTAATCAGTGTTTGGACGAGATGACCAGTTGTTATTGTTGCCAGCAGCAGGATTAACCCAAATACTACTTGCCACAATTTCTTCTTCCAAGACAGATTGAATGACATTAAAGATGCAATTTCTTTTCTGACTAAATAAAAGGAAGAGTGCATTTTATCCCTGATCATTGTAAGTAGCTCTCTTTCGCCCTCTGATGGGTGGTTAATGACAGTGTGTTACCTGAACCCTTCTCAAAACAGCTGGTCTTTTAGTATTTGTTGTGTGCAAATCTACAGATTTCTAGACCTACCACTCAGAAACAAATTATGCTTGATTCAAAATGAAGTGTCAATGAAAATAAAAGGCACCATCAATTAAAAGATCAATAGGCACTAAAGTGTGTGTGCAAATAATACAAGTGTGTGAATGCATTAATGTCTTATTATTCACACAGGTCTAAACAGAAGTTTCTGAAATCCGTGATAACCGGATAACATTTAGCACTAATAATAAGTATACTAGCCTAGTTACTGGAACAAAGATAACGTTAGGATACACATCAATAAAAGAAATGGCTGAGGGAATTCTTTATCAGTCTTTTAACACTGAAAACAAAAGACAAGAATAGAGAGATATGGATTAAAACCACAAATACTAATATGCAGTTTTTGTCTCCTTAAGAGAAACTTTATGATTGAAAACATTCAGAAAAAATTAAAGATCTAATCAAATCAACTCCATTTGTCCGATGCTTTGGTGAGGGGGTAATGATGGCCACATCGTACCAGAGATTCTCTGTTTCTGCAAAAGATGACTTGAACAATGACATGTCTCACCTTGACTGCAGAGAGCAGGAACTCCATCTGGAAGACCAGATCAGAGCAGACACCCGATACACAGAGCTGCTGGACCAGCTTCTTCTCACCTATTGGATACAAACACACCAGTGTGAGTACATTATTACATAAGAGACCCATTTAAAAAATTGCTCTGTGAGTTTTCTTGTAAATAAAACAAAACTTAAGTGTACATCCTGTGTTTCTCATCAAAACATATTGTGCATGTCCTTAGGCTGTAACAAAAGTGGTGAATGCATTTTATTCTTCTAAATATTTCCCAAAGCATGTGTTTTAAATATTTAAAATCTTGTATTGGTTAAACTCATGTTGACATTATAACATTCTACAGCTTTCCTGCCTTTATTTGTTTGCTATTTCTCTTGCCGTGTTATAGCTGCCATATGTGGATCAGTGTAATAGTGTAAACCAACAGGATGTGATTCACCATTGGTCAATAGAAAATTATTTTCAAAACATTGCTCGATAGCACTACTGGGGGTCAAATACTACACAGGGTACCTTTACATTTTCAAAATGTGTGGCCAGGATCATTATAAGACTGGGAACAAGGTACTAACCTCTAATAACACTTCGGGTAAAAATAATTTACTGCACATATAGAAAGTAATGTTCACATCATTTTTCTGATTCACTGATTAAAGGTGGGGTATGTAATTTATTTCAGAAACACTTTTTGTTATATTCCATGGAATGCTCTTAACATCCCGATAGCAATGAATATATGAAATGCTTTGACAATAAATCCATAAAGAAATGTCATCTCTGGAATCCGTAGTACTGTAAAAAGCACGACCAATCATTTGAGCCGGCCCGGCTAAAGTAACTGGATGGCCTACCTGCCTGTCAGCCTTCCATCTGGGCACAAACTTAACTCGTGCCCTCATTGGTCATGTGTGTGTTCGTGTGTGTTGGAGGAGGGGCTCTGTAAGGAAGTGGCAGATTTTTTCCGGTTGTGTATTTTCAAATTCTATCGCACTCGAGCTGGTTTCTCTAAAATTACCTACCCCACCTTTAATCACTAAATCTATAAAAGGCTATAGTGTAGATAGCGTGGTGCTCATACTTTTTTTCAGAGTCTTGGTACAGCTTTTCAGACTGATGCCATTCATCCGTGTCTGCAGCTTCAGATCCTCCTCCATCTCCTCCACCTCCTCCTTCAGCCCGGACAGCACCTTCTCTTTCTCTGCTCCATGTTTCTGTCCACAGATATACGACCTGTTGGGACAGGTGACAGGCCGTTCATTTACTGTGATGATGGTTGAGCACTTATTGAACATGTTCTACTTAATTTGATGCTTCTGCAGCACCTAGGTATACTTGTATGTGTACAAATATTACAGTTTGAAAACGACTGTGAGAGAGATTTAAACTTTTAAATAAAAAGAAACTCACATTGCATCCTGCATATGTCCCCTGAAGTTGAACGATATGTCCTTGTGGTTGTCCTGCTGTTGCTGCTGCAAGTCTTCAACTTCAGCCTGGAGCTGCTCGATCTGGGCTTCCAGCACTCGCACCTCCTCAATGGTCTCCTCGCTCATCTTCTCCATCATCCTGAAGGACAAACACAGACTGAATAAATACAAATCGTTTAGAACTTTCACTGGCTGAAGTTAGACCAATACATACAATACAATCAAAATGGCAAATAAGACCACTGTCACCAAATGCCATTAGTATTGTACTTTAGATTTGATACTCTGTAACAAATAAAATACCTGTGTTTTTACTTCAGTCAAAAAGTATTAGCATAATGTACCTTGAGTAACCATTATGCAAAATGGCTCATTTCAGAATAAACATATAGCAGTACCTGGAAATACTTAAGTTAGGTACAAGTGACGTTACAGCAAAGTAAAACTTGTTTTAATGTAATGTCATTAACGTTACATTACGACCTGGTTACACTTAGAATTAAACAGGCTGTTTCCCCCACATTAGTTATGAATGCATTTCTCCTCCTCTCAAAAGTTTGCTGAACATATTTCATTTATAAAAGAAATTCACTGTGAAGGGGTTAACGTTTATTTTGTATTAATCACGACAGTAACTTTAGAGCATTCTAGCTAGCTAAACTTACAAAGGCTTCAAAAAGACACTAGATAAAGTCAAACTGTCAAGTCTAAAGTTAACTTACCGTATTGGTCTTCTTTATAATGTAAATTGAATTAAATAAAAGTGAATTTAAGTGTATTTAACCCTCTTTTCCTCACTCTTCTTTCTGACAACCAAAACAATTTGGAGACTCGCGCCCTCGGACCTTACCACTTTCCCCCTAGAGCAGGGGGGAGAAACTATTTCTGTGAGAAAGCGTCACACAGTTTGCCCATCTAGAGATTCAAGAGCTGATAATTTTAATGTAAAGATCTGTATTTTAAAAGTACATTAGCTATGTATTATTGTTAATATGACTAAATAAAAAGTTGTTCAAGCTGGAAAATATGAGGTTCCCCTTTACATCGAAGCCGTATCTGTCAGCTGTTGGTAATCCTGAATGATTACAACGTTTTTTAAGCTAATTAATAAAGATAAACAAATATTTCGACATGATTAACACTGATAAATAAATAATTGTATTTATTAATTTACCGGTATCCCTTTCTGCGTTTATTTTCGTTTTTTCTAGAGCGGTTATTGTATCTCACACAGCGGAACGTTTCGCTTCTGCGGAAGGGAACAAGCGCGGAAAGGAAAGACTGCAGGAGTGCAACCCCGGACAGATTTACCGGTAACACCAGCTGGATACATGTGAGGTAAACATTTGTTGGTTTTTCTGTCGATATAATTTAAACCAGTGGTTTGATCTAGAATCTTCGGCTCAGTTATTGGTGAATTTATTTAGATAAGGTGGTTTATTTAGACTGTGTGTCGCTGTCTTAGTTCCTCCTAAGATTTAAAACTTGAGTTTTTTTTACACAGGGCTGTCTCTGTCTTACTAGCTGCTGGCTCACACTCACCTGCAAATTGCACTATATTTGCTTAAACACATTGTTTAAAAAACTTCTATCGAAACTGTATATACTGACCTAAAGCGTATTCATGGTATACCACTGTTTATACTGTACATGTCACGTCTTTAGTCTATGCACGTTTAATATCACACATTCATCAGTTTGTTTCTGTATGTAATGTCTACTTTTAACATGTTTATGTTTAAAACCTCTCTCTGTATGTTGTACTTATACTTGCACTGCCTACTGTAACTGTTACTGTTTAATCAATCCATTGTTTTATTTAAAGGGCAGAGTCACCATGCAGCATGGTCCCAATACAGTTGACTTAAAAACCGAATGAATACGTAGAATAAAGTCTACAAATAAAACATAATCCGCGTTAAAAGGATAAAAGTACTAAGTTCTAGGGTAGGCTGCAATGAAGTGAATACAAAGGTTCACTCTATTTCAGGTTTTCAACTTAACTTACTTCTTAAACATGTAGCTCCCCAAAAAAGGATTGAATGTTCAAAATATTGACCCAGAAATGTATAATGTACAGCTTTCACTATTGTAAAACCAAAAAGGTGCATATTTCCAGAGTTGAGAGCATAAAGTAAAGTGAAATGAAAAAATTAGAAATGCCAATTAATCTATACTCAAAAGTGTCATTGAGTACATTTCTGGTTGATTCACCTGTTATTGACCTTTTAAAATATTTTTGGTATTTTATGTTACATTAAATTGCACCCATGCATGTTGTATTGATGAGCTACTGACTCAGATGTATTGATGAGCAGACTGACTGCTGGTGTTTGTTGTGTGTGCAGTGACAGTGTTGTCGTGGATACAGAAAGATGCAACGGCTTTACGTTGGTGGGTTGAGCCACACAATCACTCAGAAGGATCTCAAAGATCGGTTTGGGAAGTTTGGACAAGTGGAGGATGTGGAGCTCCGGACCAGGAAGGACGACGAAGGTGAGGAGTCAAATTCATGGTGGACGCTCAGACATTATAATTAGTTAGATATTTAAATTACATTTAATTCTGCTCACTATCATGCTGTATTTTATGTTGCACACAATCTAGTATCCACCCTTGTCAGTCATTATTTTGTGATATTTACAAAAAAATCTGTTAGTTGCATTTAGGGAAGCTCTTTAGGTATTTTCGCATTTTCAATTATATTGTAAAAATTACGCTTATTATCGTTTGAAAGACACTTTTCTAGTACTGGTTATTGCTATAAATTATTTTAATTTGTAATATTTTTAACCTGAATGTGTTCTGACTCTTGTTGCAGGTGTTCCTTACAAAACCTTCAGCTATATTAACATCAACATTACAGACGCCGACCTAAAGAAATGTAAGTGAACTGAGGCATCTGCACATTTGGAATCATTCATCCTTATTTGAATGAAAACAGGAACAAATACTTTCAGTGTGGGTAGATAGAATACTCTTCATAGATAATGTTCAGTATCTACAAACTAAAAAATAATCAGATAAATGGCTGCACAATACTGGTTCTGGAAAATTATTTTAAAATGTTGATTTATTGTAGTGTGTTTAACTCTGTGTTTACCATACCTGACGTCAGAGCTTGTGTTGTATCATCAGTATGAGATCAGTCTGTTTGCTCTGCAGGTATGACGGTGCTGAACAAATCCAAATGGAAAGGAGGAACTCTGCAGATAGAAACGGCTAAGGAGAGTTTCCTGCACAGGTGCATTCACGTTCACCTCATCATAAAAGTCTTCTCAGTCTAACATTAACTCAATCACTATGGGGCAGGATGAAGTTGACATATTCAACCACCAAGTTGAACATTCATTTGTAATATTTGTATCTTTAGACTGGCTGAGGAGCGGCAGATGGCAGAGCAGCAGCGCCTCCTGCCGCCTGCAGCAGAGGATCAGAAGCAGAAGATGCTGGACTCCCTGAGCAAAGCCGGCGTGGAAAACTTTACCATGAAGGCAGCGGTGCCGGGGACAGAAGTACCAGGACACGAGGTACACTCATTTACAGCTTTATTTTTGGTGGTTTGACTGCCAAAAAATAACTAATAACAGCTGGTCGTGTAAAAAAAGTTCTTTCTTGCCCACAACTCTACCCAATTTAATATTTTCCTTAACTGGTTTAGCTGTTTTAATTAAAGTCATTGACATCTAAGGCAAGAAAATCCTGGCAAAAACATTGTTTTTCAGGCAGTAGTTCCATGACATGTGTCTTTTATACACTCTTGTCTTGTAAAAAAACTCAAATACTTATATATAATATGTAGGTGTTTAATTTCGTAAACTTTGTCTACTTGAACCTGTATTGTTTTCCAAAATTACTAAAAGTTAGAATAAGATAATGCCTCATTTGCATATTGTTACATACCATTTTTGAAAACTTGTAACATATAAGTCATTATCAAAAATCAACTGTTAAATTACCACTCTATGCACCTGTAGTGTCTCCCATGAAAACCCAAAAGCAACAAGAAGGATGAGAAATGGGAAATATCTGCTGTTACTGTTTGGTTGTATTCATAGTAGCTTAAGATTCATTAGTAATCAAATAAGAAGAGATGCTGTTAATGTCTGCTATTTAATTATTGCTGTGAAAATGGGTTGGATGGAGAAAGTGATATAAGAATAAAGGTGATGACTTCATGTGCTCTCTGGTTTCAGGACTGGGTGGTGAGTAAATTTGGACGCGTGCTGCCTGTGCTGCAGCTTAAGTGTCAGAAAGGCAGCCGAGCTCGAACCCTGAAGTACGACCCGTCCAAATACAGCCACAACATCCGCAAGCTGGACCGCCCCTCCGCAGACCAGTCCGCCTCAGACCTGCCCACCCCGGTGAGTCAGCTGACCTGGGAGCTGCAGGGGGGCGATGACGACATCAGCAAGAAGAGGCGCGGAGAGTTTCCCGCATACGAGCCGCCGAAACGCAAGAAGAGCCGGACAGACGCGGTCAACTTACTGAAAGCTGAGGGCAAACCCAGGTAACCATGGGAGGTTGTCCACTCATCCGAGAGGTCCACATGTTATTCTTAGAATTCCTGAACGTTTCAGTTTGTTTCTGTGATTCCCAGATGTTTTCAGTCTTATCTTAAATTCTCTGGAATTTCACCCGCTTCCTGGAATCTCTTTTAAGGTCCTGCTGGATTCTCAAATTCCCCAAATCGTTTAATGGTTTCTGGGCTTCTCAGCTAATTCCTGACATTACATATTCTCCAAGTTATTTTCAGGATTCTCAAAGTCGCAACCATGTTTATTGGACTCCCAAATGTTTCTTAAGGTTTCTTCTCATTTCTGACACCTGCTGGTATCGGGTAATACACATTTCAAAGTCCTCTTCAGGATTCTCAAAGCTTTCCATCAGTTTCTTGGATTCCCAAATCTTTCTTTCTTTTCTTAAATTCTAATAAGTTCGTCCTCGATTCCCCAAACTTTATAGCTGGCTTTTGATTTGCTGGGATTCTCAGTTCCTGCTGGTTTGTTGAATTAACAATTGCTCACACTGATTTATTTTATATTTTGTTTTAGGTGGCTCCTATGATTCTCATTATCCAAAATGTTTTATACAATTACAGAACCCCATAAATAATAAAGCCCTATTTTTAAGCTATCGGCAAACATCAAACATGTATTAGGTAATCAGTGCCAGGTGGGAACAAAACAGAATCATGTGGGAAATAGAGTCTAGAACTATTTCAGGTCAACTTAAGTCAAGATCACTCTGTTGGTATTAACAATACAAAGTTCCTGGAAGTGTAGAACTATGAATATGTTTAGTCTTGTTGAGTATTTGAGTATTAAGATTGACTTCATCCAAGTGTTATTTTACCCCTATCATCATCACCCTGTCTCCTCTGTTGTTTTCCTGTCAGACTGAAGCAGAGCGTGGACTCTGTCGCTCTCACAGAGGCTCCTCAGGTCACCAACGGGCATAAACCCCCCAGCGCAGTCAGACCAGCTCAGAGGAAGGGGCCGCCTCTTACTCTCAGTGACATCGATTCAGACGACGAGATCCACAAAATAGTGGCAGTCCAGAGCTCCTCCCATAATGCACTGCAGCAGGAAGAGGACGAGGATAAGCTGGAAGTGGTTGGACTGGATTATTTGGTGACGCCGGGCCGTGCTCGTCAGCAGCAGAAAGGTGACGGCCGTGTTTCAAACATTAAGTCCATTTTTTGAGAATTATAAATCTTTTTTGCATTTGTCTTTTTAAAGGAGCTTCTAAGAAAATCTTATACCAATATTTATAGTTTTTTATTTATCAAAGAAATTGTGACCATAATATATACTGAGTGGGTCATTTCACGGTAAGAAAAAGAACTTGTTGTGCTCTAACTATGTAATGAAAACACTGCCAGTATATCTTTGATAACAAGTGGAAATATTATCTGATTTATAGAAATGATATGTAAAGGAATGAAAATGGGAGAATGTATTAAATTGATAAATAAATAAGAAATCCTTTCTTTATTATTATTGAAGATGAACCCATTTTCTTGTATGTGTGTATACATATATATATATATATATATATATATATGTTGTTAAAATGGGACAAACTGCCAGAACATGCTTTTCTTTGTGATTTCAGGAGGTGATGAAGAGGAGAATGACTACGACTCTGCAGACACAGATGAACTGTTGGCCTCCAGGAAACCCCCTCCTCCTCGTTCTTCTTCTCCTCCTCCCCAGGAGAGACCGACCCTCACGGCAGGAAACATCTCCGGGAACAACACAGACAGGAAGAGAAAGACCAAGAAGAAAAGTAAAGCTGAAGAGGAAGAGGACGATTCAACAGATGCTGAAGAACCCTCCACACAGAAGAGACAAACAAAGAAACAAAGCAAGAAGATGAAAGTCCTCCCTGTTGTAAAACCATCTTCCTCAGAATCAGAAAGTGATGATGATGAGGAGGAGGAGGAGTGTGAGTCCGCTGATTCCAGTTCAGATTCTGATTATGAAGCCATGTTCTCTAACGTCACTCGTCTGGAGATCTCCCTGGCTGATCTGCAGAAGCTAGCTGAAGAATTCCAGGATACTTCTGAGACTACAGCTCCCAGCAGCCTCAGCGTCTCTGAACAAGAAACTAAGCCCCCAAAGAAGGGCACCACGCCGGAGGAGATCCTCGCCGCCCTCATGGAGGACGACAGCAGCGAGGAGGAGGAGCAGCAGCCGAAGAAGAAGAAAAAGAAAAGGAAAGCAGACGCTACAACCCAACTGCTGCCGGCCTTCAAGGGGACGAAGGCGCTGAACGAGGGGTCGGAAACAGAAGAGGGACAAAAGGAGGAAGAGGAGGGAGAAGGAACTGAGGTTAAAAAACTAAAGGTGGACCACAAAGCAACTAGCAGCAAAATGAATGGACAGAAACACACAGAAACCGAGAGCAGTGAGGATGAGGAGGAGGATGAGGAAGAGGAGGAAGAAGAACCAAAGAAAAAGAAGGCAGTGGTGAAGAACATGGCTGAGAAAGCTGAATCAGTTTCCTCCTCCAGCAGTGATGAGGAGGAGGAGGAGGAGGAAGAACAGGAGAACAAGGGGAAGGTGTTCAAGACCATGGCTAAAAAAGCTCAGAAAGAGTCCTCCTTTAGCAGCGATGAAGATGAAGAGGAAGAGGAAGTGCCAAAGGCAAATCAGAATGTTCTTCCATCTAAAGCTGCAGCAGCTTCATCCTCCAGCTCCTCCTCTGAAGAAGACGAGGACGAGATCCTCCCTGCTAAAGATGCAGTGAAAGCAGCACCTCCCCCTGCTCCTCACAGTGAGTCCTCCTCCAGCGAGGAAGAGGAGGAGGAGGAGGAGAAGCAGGCTCCTCTCCGTGTCCCGTTAGGAGCTAAGGAGGAAGAGGAGCGCCAGAGGAAGGCCAACATAAGGAGGCTGGCAGCTGTCCAGCAGAGGCAGAAAGAGACGGAGGAGAACAAGAAGCTGATCCAGGGAGCGCTGGCCAACCTGGTGAGGAGAGCCCGTCTGGGCCGTCCTCTGCTGGAGGCAGAACGGCTTGAGGTCTAGAATAAGTTCAGGTCTTTAAGATGTTTAGATTTAGATGAATTGACCCAAAATGTGTTTTTGTTTTTACAGCAACTTACACATAAAGACAGTACACCAAATGTGAGAGTGAGGAAGAAGGAACACAAACAAATGATCATATAAATGAATGAAGCGACTAATTGAAAACAATTATTAAACAGTCATTCATTTTACAGAGGGAAAGTCTTGACCTTGGAAACTTTTCAGATGAATAAAATTAGCATGAATTGAATTGTATATTATAATCCTTAATAGACGTCTTCAGTGGTTAAGTTGGCAGACACAGAGGAACATTAGCATGCAGTCTGGCTTTTGGAGGGGTGTACCTTTCTAGTATTTGTTTGTGGTGCAAAGCCACAAACAAGCAAGTTATTAACAAAGCAAGTTATTAAAGCTCTAATATTTAATACTAAAAGGTAAAAAGATTGAAAACACACCGATGTACCAATTGAATGTGTCAAACAGCCATACCTTCAGCCTTCAGAGCAGCATTAAACTGAGCATTGTCTGTAACATGGCAGCGTGTCTAACACACAGTATTTCCCTTCATTAGGATGCTCCAGCAGCAGGAGCTGGGAAACACATCGTCTTCGGCTCTGATGATGAGGATGATGAGGAGGCTGACAGTGATGATGAGCAGCAGACAACTTCAGAGATCAAAACGCCAAAGAAGACGCTGTTCCAGGACAGCCAATCAGAGGACGAGGCACCAGGTCATAAGAACACCTCAACAAAAGAAAAGGTGAGAGAAAAGTTACTGATGTTATTAATGTTCAGAATCTGCCCATGAATGTATGTAACATTCTGTATCTATTCGTTATCAAACACAACATTCAATCAGGAATACTCAGAATATGTATTATGGGTCATAGTGTCGAGTGACAATCATTTAGATGTTCCAATAATATCAATTCTGAATGCCTGAAACACTTTTAACCCTAATAATCAAAAATGTAAGAAATAAGAATTATTGTTGAAGTTTTCTACAGTCACCTTGCTGTTCTATGATACTAGCCAATAATAGAAAAGTAATCGTTGTTACATTTACCTTGTAACAATAACCTAAAATGTTATGTCCTTAAAGCTCTATAATTTTTCCACATTTTTACTGAATATTGATATTTTTAATATATTTGTAAGTAATAATAAAATATTCCAGCATCTTGACAACACTAATAGCAACCTTTTCCTTTCTTGCTGAAGAAACACATCTGAAATCAACTCCTTAATCATCTGTTTTTGAACTGTGTGTGTCTGTGTGTGTGAGAAGCTGTCGGGAACTCACCTGTTTGGCAGCAGTGAGGAAGAGGAGGATGCTGATGAAGAGGAGGATGGCAGCAGGTTTGACATCAGGCCTGAGTTTGAAGGTCGAGCAGGACACAAGGTGAAAAAAGGAGTTCACACATATATCTGTTTTCATTATATTCAAGTTCTATATATTATTACAAATGACATCAATGGCAAATCAATAATTGCTGTGTGTGTGTGTGTTGTTCAGCTGATGGAGCTGCAGTCCCGCTTCGGGAAAGACGAGCGCTTCAAGATGGACTCTCGCTTCCTGGAGCAGAATGAGGACAAAGAGGAGGAGTCAGGTGAGGCTGAGGGGCTCTTTGGGTATAGCTTCGAGCTAGATAGTTTCCTTCCTTTCTGCAGAGGTCTGGTATGTTCACGCTCAATGATTCAGGCTCATTTCCTTATTGGTCCATTTGTCCTTCTCCCACACAAGATTTATTATTTTTGGACAAAATAGATTTTTATTCATTTCTTTCTCAAATAAGTATGTGTGGGTGTATTTTTGTAATTGATTGTAAAGGCTCATTCAGGAGCTCCAGTAGTGAAGCTAAGAAAATAAATGTTGTCTTTAGGTTTGCGTCAAAATATGAGTTGTTGTCTAAAGAAATGAATACAGTAACTTGTCGTAAAGATTTGGAATTTTCTCTGTCAGTGCGAGAAGATATTTAGGCTTGAGTAGAACTAGGCTTATATGCATTTATGATGTATAAAGACAGTCGTATTGTAATCCTGCTGGATACATGTTGTTTGTGTGATATGCTTTGTTTTGTCCATCTGGACCACTTATTGCACTGAAGTGAAAGCTGTGAACTCAACTTCTTGTTAAATAAAGCGTGGGTTTGTGATTCAGAGAAGAAAAAGAGCGGGACCGAGGAAGAGGAGGCGCTGGAGGAGGAGAGGAAGAAGAGCCTGTCCATCCTGCAGAGCGTCCTCGGCATCAGCCAGCACACCTCCAGCAGCAGCAAGGCCACCAGCAAGGCCAAAACCTTCAGGTAGCACACTGACTCACTCACATTCACACAATGTGGACACGTTTCATCTGAAATAGGAAATAAATCCAAATAATAAAATGTGTGTTTGCAGAGATGTGTCAGCGCTGCACTACGACCCCAGCAGAGAGGAACACGCTGCGTTTGAGACCAAGACAGAGGAAACCAAGAAAGAGAGGTAAACTCACCGATCCATGTCATCTGCTCGGATTCTGACCCAAATAACTAGACATATTTTATAGGTTTAAGTCTGCCAAAGACAAACCAATCAAATAATCCAATCCAAATGTACAAAAAGGTCATATTTACCAAATACGTTTATGCAGGAATGAGTCCTTAAACAAAGGGTACACAAGCGTAAGAAATTGTCTTGTTCCATTCTATGAAATAAAATACGTCCCTGGTTGAAGCTTGTACAGTACGTGCCTTTTAAAAACGGCGGTTGCTCACAAGTGGCTAAAAGGTTGCTGGGGACACACTTTAAAAGGCTTGTTGAGTTTAAACTCACGGCATGTCAATCTTCCCAACGTATTATATCACCACACTAAGAGGAAGGACTTCTGTAGAGGGTGAAGTCATGTGACTGCGGTGTTGTTCAATTTGATCCTAACATATCTCTTTCACTTCTGGTGATTTCATTGAATCTTAAAAAGCATAAAAGGTGTTGGAAGTATTTTGAAGATGATCTTGCATTATAAATGTTTGTTTGCCCGAGAGCTTATTATCTGCAATAATCCAAGATCTAATAAAAAAAAGATCACAATGCCTTTTTGTCGAAGCAACCAGGGTTATGATAACTTCCAGGTTGTTCTCAAATAAATCTGTCCTCCCCTCCGCCCTTTATTATCAGCTCTACCTGTACTTCTGTAAAACGGTCATGTGATCTGATGTCTTCACAGTAAGGCAGCCAGGAGGAAGAAGAGGGAGGAAGCTCAGAAACTCCCGGAGGTTTCTAAAGAGATTTACTACGATGTGTCCGGTGACCTGAAGGCCGTGTTCGGTCTTACAAAGGAGGAGGAGGAGGAGGACGCTGTTGCTGTTGCAGAAAAAGAGGAGACAAACTGGGACCAAGAGGAAGAAAAGAAAAAAGAGCAGGAGGAGGCAGGAGAACAGGTTGAACAGCCGAGCCTGGAGTCTTCCCTCCCGTCAGCTGAGAAAGAGGAGGCGTCAGGATTTAAGTTCTCTTTCTTCGGAGACGACGTAGAAACAGGAAGTGGAGAGACAGGTAGGTCTTATCTCAGATATTTACTTTGACTCTCAGAGAGATGATTTCTTTTAATACTTTTTATATATCTGCCAGCTGAGTACAAGATAGAGAGCATCCAGGCGCCAAAGCTGTCATGGCAACAAGACCCACGTTTCCATGACAGCAGCTCAGATGAGGAGGAGGAGAAGGGGCAGGAGGAAGAAGAGAAGACGCAAAGCAACGTCATCGCCAAAATGTGAGAACATGCCGCTTGATTCCTGTAAACTGCTCTATGTATTCAAATTCCTCTTTTGGTTTGAGCTATTATTCTAACAGCTTAAAGTAGAATTCACCTGCATGAATAGGCCAGCTCTCAGTCTGTTTCTAAACTGTGTCCGTGCACAGAGAGGAGACTCCAACAAAGACCGGCCTTTTCTTCTTCTACCCTGAAGACAGCAGGCTGACCGGTAAGACGAAGATGACAAAAGAAGACCTTGTATATATGTGTGTGATCCCACAGACACTGTTAGATGTGTGCCTGGTGGAAAACCTACAGAACAGATAACAAAATGATTCTGAAATGTTTCTCTCCGTGCTTCCTCCATCAGAGGGTCCCAAGTTGTTCTGCCGCTCCTCTCAGCTGGAGGAGCAGAAGGAGCAGTGGGAGGAGAGGAGGACTGAGCTCAGACAGGTGACCTTCAGTTTCAACTTTTCAGCCATTCTGTCATTTAGGCCAAAATAATTCAGAGCTTTTCTTCTACTCGATAAAACAGCTGGATTGTATTTATGTTGTCAATATGCTTAGGTGTTTAGCGCTGCATCTAATGATTATTTGTCATTTTTGATTAGTCTTCCAATTTGTGTCCATAAAATTACACAAAATATGAAAAAGGCCATCTCAGTTTCTTTGAGTTGAAGATCTTTAAATGTTCATTTTGATTTGTACATGTTTACAGAAGTAATGCTTTATTAACATCAAACTCAGGGTTGAGTTTGGGAACATTTGTTAAAGACATTTCTATTTTTTGTTTCTACAGGAGTATCGCAAGAAACACAAGGATGCCCGGAGGAAGCTGAAGACCTCTGTAAAAAGCTGAGGATTATGGGAGGTGAAGTCTCATTGTTTGGGTTTCCGCTCACTGGTATGGACTTTAGAAATATTCATCTCCTTTGTGCCGTTTCGTGCCCCAGACTGGTTTCCACAGTCAGCAGGAGAGACACCCACTGGGAAAGTTCAAGATCATCTATTACTTTTTAAACTGGGAAGTACTTCCTCTTGGTCCGTCTGGTTTTGTTTTCTTGTTGGTTTACTGCTGCAAATAACCTTGTGGACAATCAGCAGAATGAGCCAATCACAACTGCAGAGGACCAAACCTGTTCATACAAATGGTTCAAATGCATAAAGAAGAGTTTATTCAAACTTTAATAAAAAACAATTGTGCAAAAATGTATGGCATTTTTTTTGTATTCTGTTGATTTCACTTTGTTTGTTGAAATGTATTGTTTATTTAAACGCAACAGTCTCCCCAATTCCAGAAAACACTGTATTTCATAATTGTTTGGTTCCATCCAGTACATTTTAAGGGAGAAAAACAACTTGTAAAAGACCAAGAAGTGTAACATCAATGTTACATTTAAAACGCCCTCATGTCCATTTTCACTTTTCCACTTCAGTTTGCCTTTATTTTGAAATGTATAACCGGAAGCTCCGTGTTGTATTCATGATGAGCAACAAGTGCTGAGGCAGCAGACTCAAAACTTCTGCATCAGGACCGGACGGTGGTCGGACTCTCAGAAAAACTGATGTATGGACTTTTTTTAATAACACAAGTTATATAAGTTGTTGCAGCACATGTCTGTGAAAGAGACGGATCACACGGAACTGTTGTTGTTACTTAAACGGTAACGAAAATGAGTCCGGTTTTGTTTCTTCTGCTGCTCTGTCTGCGGACCGCGGAGCTCCGTCACAGATCAGCCCGGGAGGTTCAGCCGGGGTCTGCGATGGAGACGGAGGATGCTGGACCTCCGGCACCGGGGACAAATGATGTTCTCTCCCCGGATAGGACTTCTCTTGGCCGAAATGAAAGTTTTAAAGTTCCCGGCCTGAAGCGGGTCCCCCGTGGAGCGAAGGATGGTAATTTCAGGAAAAGAGAGCCGCACTCACCGAGCAGTAACGGGCGACCGTACGACGACCCGAGCGGTTACTTCACCACCACCCCACGGGCAGCCTCCTCAGCCCGGCCCGGTACTAACTCATCGTCAGTACGCGGGTCGGGGCTCCTCAACCCGCTGTTCCCGGTCACCGATGGCTCCTACGCGGCGTACGCGGTAATGCTGCTGGCCCTTGTGCTGTTCGCCACGGGCATCGTTGGTAACCTCGCGCTCATGTGCACAGTGTGGCACAACCTGTACCTGAAGAGCGCGTGGAACTGCATCCTCGCGGGGCTGGCTTTCTGGGATTTCCTCGTGCTGTTCTTCTGCCTCCCCGTGGTCATCTTCCACGAGCTCACCTTGAAGAGGTTGCTAGGAGACCTGTCCTGTCGGCTCGTGCCCTATTTGGAGGTGAGAAGGGGCAGATGAATGTGTGAAACGTTTTAATTTACCAAAGTTGTATTTACTTAAACATTACTCTGCCGAAACTTAAGTTAGACTGTTGAAGTTGTGAGAAAATAGAAACGAGCGGAGCAACTTAAACTTTTCAGAATTTGTGCCAAAAGACTAAAATTGCCAATATATCCCAAAGCTTTGAACAAGCTTGTCTAAAACCCAATTACATAGTTTTCTCTCATTTTTAAAGAGAGAATAGCAGCAAATCCTCACAATAATGTAATCAAGTAGTGCTATTTATGTAGGCTAACCATGAGTTGCTTTTGAAAGTATTTAAGTTATCTCTCTATATATATATATAGATACACACACAAAAACGTGGATGTCTTTGTCAAGAGATATCAAACAACTTAAACAGTTCAAACAAACTACTCAATGTGATGATAATTAAGTCTGCCTTCACACTGTCAGTGCTGTTTTTATACCCCCATGTTAGACTCATTGTAAATGTTATCCAGTTTAATAAAGAGACACCAGGGCCGTGATGAATGGCCTGCCTGTGTCTTGTTGCTGCTCAGTTTCAGACTCGGAGCAGTAACAAACGTGCTGTTATGGGCTGTTTGGCCTCTGAAGCCGTCTGTTATGAAGCAGCAGTAGAGGCCGGTGGGGCCCTGCATCGAGAGACTCTTCTTCCCCAGCACAATGAAACACAGAGCCATAGTTATCAAGGACCTAGGTTGAATTTGGGGACATGGAAGACAAGTTATGCTTTCCAGAGGGGGGAGTTAACTTGCCACATTTTAAAACAAAAACATTTCTTTGTTATTTTAAGACCCAGTGTTTCTGCACCATGGGTTGCATATATTATTCTCCTTGGCACTGATGAAAGATTAAAACAACATGAAAACTAGTGCTGCAATCAAGTTCATTGATAAATCACACAATATATTTTTAACGAGTCGATTAGATGTCTGTAGATTCTCAGAAAATGAAAAAATAAATCCATAAAAATGTCCTAAAGCACAAGACAGCACATCTTCTAATTGCTTGGTTTGTCTAAGAAATGTACAAACCTAAAGATAAGACATAAATATATATTTTATATATGTCTCAAAGCGGCTCTACATGTTGATACTGTTTATACACATCTTACTGTCCACATGTACACGTATGTTTATATACTTCTATACTTTTTTTAAATGATAATGTTTTTAAAGCTAAATAATGATGTGAAAGTTCATGCAGTATCTCAGTGTTTTGGGTGAGTTTCCTTCACAGAGTATGAACTGAGATCCCTCCCAGCCTCTTGGCTATATGTTGGGTTTTCAGCAGCTTCATCTTCTTCTGTTTCATCGTGTGGAGTCCTTGTGGCTCTTACCCACTTCCAAACGCCTACACAGCTCTAAATCACTGAAGTGGAGTTTCACTCATTTGTAATAACAGCTTGTACGAAGCAGTCTTTAACAAGGTCAGGGTGCTGGCCTCCTCCTTTCTTTGTTGCGTCACCTATTTTCATGCAAATTAATGACTGAATTTCTTTCTAATTAATGAACGTTCTCAAAATGGTCTTTAGCAGTTTGTGGTCTCCTTATTGAGCAAAGTTGAAAGCGGGTCAGGCTGCCAGCTGCCCCTGTGTTAGTTAAACTATTTTCATGCTGATTAGGGCTCTGCTTCTGTCTTAATTATCTTCTGTTGTGTCTTAACTGTTTGAGGCCATTAAGCACTCTCTGTAATGATAGTCTGTGTTTTTAAACGTTAATGGGCACGAGGCACCAATAACTGTCTCCAGTCTGTCGGGTAAAAGCTGCGACAACATAATGGCTCTTTATTCCCTCTGTGGCTCCTTTTATTTCCCTGTTTCTGTATTCTAAAGCAGTTTCTTAGAACCTTGTTATTACTGTAGTTGTGGCTAATTTCCCTGGCTGGCACAATAAGGCAGAGGAAAGCCGTAAATCTGTTTTTTAAGCAACAAAACACCTTCCTGTGGTCTATTTAAACCATCTGTCTGCATGAAGGCGTGTTTTGTCTGAGTCGTGCTAACAGGTCACGTCTGACTGAACTGAGAGCATGAATGAATACAGTGAAAGTTAAGCTGCTTAAAAGAAGCTCTGCAATGTTCAAAGAAAACGATTTTTTTCTGATTTATTAACAACTAGGAAAGGCTCTGTTCTAGGAGGTTTGTGTGTGTATGTCTTTTTTCAATATAAAACTATGTTGTTCCCCAATGTGTGCTATCTATCATTTATTATTATCCCTTACTGTGGAGCTTACTGTCTGAGGAGGATATAAGTCTTGCAAAGATGTATCTCCCCATTGATATCTGGACATCAGAAAGACTACACATCTTCTGTCACACACTGTTAACCCAGCTTGTTTCACATGGCTGTTAAACCTAAGACACGCACACAAAAGGTACAGCTCATTTGAAATTAATGCACCAGCACTCACAATTATAAGCTTATTGGGTTTTTTAGGTGCAGCAGCAGCAGCAGGCAGTATGAGAAACATAAAGAGCTTTTTGAACATTAAAGCATGTAGAGACACAACATACAAATATGAACCTGAAAATGAGCAGAATAGGGCCTCTTTAATTAAATGTAATGTAAGTATTAACTTTCATCTGACTGCCACTCCGTCTTGTCTCTGTCAGGTGAGCTCTCTGGGTGTGGCCACATTCAGCCTCTGTGCTCTGAGTATTGATCGTTTCCATGCAGCCACCGGCCCCGGGCCCCTACAGACGCCGAGGGTGGAGCCCTGCCAGTCCATCCTGTCCAAGCTGTCCGTCATCTGGGTGGGCTCCATGGTGCTGGCGGCCCCTGAGCTGCTGCTGTGGCAGCTGGTGCAGGAGACCGTCAGCCTGCCGATGCTCCCCAGTGACCGGCAGGGAGGAGGCTCTCTGATGGCCGCCTTAAGGGCCCGATCAGAAGCCTTTAAGGTGGATATCTGCGTCCGAGAGCCGTCGGTGGAGCTCCCAGAGAACGTCTACTCTCTGGTGCTGACCTACCATGAGGCCCGCATGTGGTGGGTCTTCGGGTGCTACATCTGTATGCCACTGCTCTTCACTCTGGCTTGCGACTTAGTGACGAGGCAGGTGGTCGCCCAACGTCTCCCGCAGAAACCCACCGTTGAAAAGGTGATCGAAAGTTGTTCGTCCTCCTCGTCGAAGAAGAAGCAGCACACGAGAGAGCAGAGGCTGCGCACAACTGTGATGTCTCTCACCATCTTGTACGTCATATGCAACCTGCCGGAGAGCATCTGTAACATCACCCTGGCGTACGTCTCCGCCCACGTGTCCGCAGCTCTCCCGGCTCTGGCCCTGCCGGCTCTGGGTTTGCTGGGACATTTCCTGCTGTTCGTGCGTTGCTCGGCGACCCCGGTGCTGCTGCTGTGCCTGTGCCGCTCGCTGGGCCAGGCCTTCATGGACTGCTGCTGCTGCTGCTGCGAGGAGTGCCTCCCCGACGGCAACTCTTCCTCATCTGCCTCGACTGCAGCCACCTCCAACCCCTCCTCGCCCACGTCGCCAACTCCGTCCTCCCTGTCCCCTTCCTGCAAAGATGAGACCATGAAGAGCTTGTTGCCGATAGAACCATCAGTTTGCTACGACCGGGTGAAAGACTCTTCAACAGTTATCGGGACACCCTGCTGAGTTTTAGAACTGCAAATAGGTTTATCATTTAGGTGTATTTGTTTTGTCCATCATATAGTGAAGCAGGGAAGACATGTTTTTGTAGGGTGACCCGGAAGTCAGCATCACCCTGGTTCCCTCAATTAAAGACGATGGGATTTTCCCAATGGATTGTTGCAAAAAAATGGGCATATTAACTGACGTCTTTGATGCTGAAAAGAAATCGTTAAAGTATGTAAGCTTGTGTCAACCACAGATCTTCTTCAACCCATCGAGACGAGGGAACCGGAACTTCTAAATGCTCACACAATTCCGGGCTTTAGGACTTATTCCTGAATCACTCTTTCTCTATCACTTATAAGAATGTTGTACTCTCCAAGTTGATATCAGAGATCTGGGGGAAACAAGAAGAAGTCTGATGTGTCCGATTTTGTTAAGTTCTTCCAGATCCCCAGGGCAGTAAACCGATCAGACAGGTTGGAGAGAAAAGTACACACACTCCTCTGCACCAGTCTGTTTTCTAAGAAGGGAAATCTTTATACTGTAGCATTCAATAAGATTTAGGGGAATAGTATACTTCCTACTTTCCCCTTTTTAACAAGACGATGCCCTCATATACAAAACCAGCTCCATAAAGAACTGGGTTTCCCAGTTTGATGTGAAAAAACGTCACTGGACAGAGCCCTGATATCTGCTCTATCCAATGCAAACCCAGATTTGATCACCAAACATCACCATAACAATGCTTGTGTCTATCTTGAGTCTATGTAAACTTGATTTGGCACCAAAATATTTATTTTCCAAGGTAAAGTTTTAACATAAGGTGGGTCTGTAGAATGTGATGGATGTTACCATTGTTGACTTTGTTTTTCTTTCCGAATTAAGTTTCTTCAACCAACAAATTAGTTTCTAACCTGTTTAAATGTCTGACTGATCCATAATCCCTGTTTTTCTGTCAGCGGTAAACCTGCAAGTCCAATAAAATATTATTAAAACTGATAGAAATGATGGACAAAACTACTGAAATAAAAGTTGTTATAGACTGGAATTATCCTAAGTCTGTGAACCGGTAGTTTAGAGCCTGTAGGAGCAGAAACGTGACTACGGTTAGATGATTACAAACAATATAGAATGTCTGATTTTTTTTGTGGGGGGATTTTAGTGTTGTCCACCTGTGATGGATTTAATCCTGTTATTTTAGGAGTCATACATATTTTACAGGTGTTTTTTATTATTATAAAGTTATTCATATGGATCTAATGCTCTTTCGAATATTTGTATGTTCTGCTCTAAGTACTGTATCAGATAGAAACACTGGACATTAGAGGGATTTTTTAGGGTTAAACTGAAATAGAAATACTACTGAGACTTATCAGCAAATTGACTGCTGTGAACTTATTGACGTATTTGTGTTTGTTTTTTGTACATGATTTTGCTGTTGCTGTTTGTGTAGACAGCAGGTTAAACATGGGGATGAAAAGAGGTCATATTAGATATAAATCAGAATTTTGAAGCTACAAGACTTGGGTATAGTCCATTTTTAGGATGTCAGTAGATTCCTTTTGTTTTTAGAATTTACATTTGATTGCCCTGAACAGTGGAGATGTTGATAAATGCTCTATCTGTGTTCACAAAGCCTTTTATACAACAAATTACTGGAATAAAAATGAACTTAATGGATTTACAATTCCATTCAGCAAAAAACCTCTTCTTAATTCTTATTTAAAATCTGAATTCTTTTTTTCATTACATCTTTGAATATAAAATCTGTTTATTACCCACATTTTAAATGAATCCCATCCAAAGACCAAAACAAGTCCTCAACTGATTCATATGTCTTCCTCTGTGCTATAGAAGAAGAGCTTAACAAATGCTCTATTTCCTCCTGTTTGAGTAACGTTTGCTAAAAACTGAAGTGACCAGCTGAAATTACTTTAGTTTTAATTGCATTTTAAAGATGAACATATTCAGTAGAAAAAATGATGAGCTCGGCAGAAAAAAGTCAGAAAATGGGTCAGAAATTGACTAACAAGTTGTTGGTTTTTTTCTGTATGTAGGATTTCTTTAAAAGAAAAGTATAAAATAACTCAAACCAAATCCTGGAAATCTGTGGTTTTCATAAAAAGCAGGATTTTCCTCAAAGGAAACCTTGGAAACTAAACTTTTGTGTAAAAAAGAAAAAACTGAAATGACTTTCTGCAGAGATGTCTTTATATGTTGTTGTAAAAGACCTAATTGTATTTTACTTATAAAGTATTGGATTTTCAAAACTGCAGACATCCTGGTCCAGTTAAAGAGTAAAGTCAAATATTAAACCGCCAAAGAAATTCAGAGAGAAAAGTCACACAGAAAAGACATAAAGAAGACACAATAGAGAAACAAAACAATGGGGAGAGGAGAAATGTTCGGATAATATCCGACAAAGGAAAAACTGAGAGAAGGGGGGAAAGAAAAGTTTCCTGTTAGCGGGGGTGCCTTTGTTCCTTAGCCATCATGTTTTTCAGCAACAATCTGAACACTTGTGGATTAATTTTATTTGGAAAAAGACGGCGGATGTTTACTGTGATCTCCATCGGAAGGAATGCAACGCAGCAGTGCTCTGGACACCCACTGCAGGAGAAAGCTGTGCATGGCAGACTGTGACGCTCCTTTTTGTCATTATTCAATTATTGAAGGTCACAGCTTCACAATAACAGTTGGCCTTTGAGTTTCTGCAGACATAATTAACAAAGTCGCTCTGTGAGCAGTTGCTGTGGAGAGTAGACAGGAATTCCTCGTTTAACCAAGTGCTTTCAGCTGTTTCTAGACGTTTGAATGTTTACTTAAAAGATTGTCATTATTTTCTTCGAGCAAACCATTTTCTACAACATTTAAAACCACTTGGAGTAACCAGAAGGACACATTGTTCATTTAAGAATGAAAAACCTCAGAAGAAATTAAAATACATTTCAAACCAAACATTCTTGGTATTCTTCCCAGAATACCAAGAATCCTAAAAGACACATTTTTCAATGTATCAATCCTTTCTTGGAAGATGGCTTTTAGCTTTCAAGAATCATTCAAGATACTATCCTGTGACAAGATATGGATCTTAAATGGACTTTAAATCAATACAAATTTAAAAAGGGAAACAAGTACTTATATTGTTGCAATTCAGCATCAATTTAGGAACAAGAAACAAATAGATATTAACAAATAAAAAAGTATTTAACCTTTAAAAAACATAAGGCCACCTATTTGCAGCTTGGCATGGCTCCTTCACAAAATTAGTCCATAGTTAATTTAACTTGGTCTAATTCTGGTTTTTGGCCCACAGCTGACCCGAGTGCTGCTCTCTGCCAGACTGCACCCCCCCAAACCTGAGCCAAACCTGGACCAAACCTGGCAGCTGTGTTGGGCCAGAGCCGGATCGCATTTGGTCCTCTGGGACCAGAAAGAAATGCAAATATCCCGACGCTCAAATGGCCTCAGTTGTTAGAAAATCTTTGACAGATATTAGTACTTTAGGTGCATACCACTTGTTTTAAGAGCGTTTTTCTTTTTGGTTAAAGTGTGCCGTTTTTTTTCTTAGATTAATCCCACACTGTATTTTCCAACATGTTTTTATAAAAGCAACCCACTATCACTACAATAGACACACATACAGTAGAATAAACTGATATTCATGATCTCGCCATAACAATTGGGAAGACAAAAGAAAATGTTTTTTCATCTATTCCTTTTGTATGTATTTCTCTTGAAAAAAGGCTTACAAGTGTAGGAGTTCTCATTGTGTGTAGATTTGTGTTTGGTATTGACTGTACAATGTACTGTGAAGGTTATGCTTTGGACACAATAAACAGTAGAAGTTCAATCTCTGCTCCTCGTTTCCATGATGAAGAAAAACAGCAACTCTGAGTTAAAAGCATCAGGTGTTGGGGGGTGGATGTTTACAGTTTTTTTCAATTGCTAAAAGGGCTTATTTTCTCAAAACACTTAACACAATTCCCAAAGCCACACACCCAAAGTGAAAAACTCCTCATATATCCTGCAGAATGAAGCACTGCACTCAAGACTACATAAACACTAAAACCAAAGTTGCACCAAATGGCATTCATAGTAGGCCTATAAGGCACTTTGTCCAACCAACTACACACTGTGGTGCTTTATCTAAAGCACACTCATCTTTTATGGCGTTCTGTATGTAAAGAATTCTGCATTTAAAGATTGTTCACAAATATACTGTTGTTATACTTCTATGTTTCTCCAAAACAAATTAGTGCAACATTCATGCACAACACATAGTCACAGTTGTGTAAACAAAAAATAATTTTTTGGGAGTTTTCGAAATGTGAGCTTAGGTTCTGTTCTTTGAGTTTCAGTTTAAATAATTATGATTTGTGTGTCATTTTAGTGTGTTACCAACTGAAAAAAACTGTAAAATCACCGACCGGAAATGCTCTAAAAAGGTCCAAAGATATTCTTTTATTAAATAAATTAAGAAGAAGCAGTATAGGGAGATTTTAAAGTTTATTTCAGTGGCTTAATTTTTTTCCGAGCGGTTTAAGAAGAAGTTTTAGACCATGTCTGCTTGAATACTATAAAAGCATAAAGCATTCATTTTCCAAGGGACACCTGCAGGCCCTTCACAGATGTGGCGGGCCCCTAGTTACACTCTGCTGTTGTAAGTTTGAGCTTCGATTTCTTTTTGAGCTGAAAAATGTGTCCTCCCACGTCGCTGTGCATGGGCACAGAGAAGGAGGAGGGGAAGCTTCAATAAGGCCGGCTTTGTTCAGGCGTCCCCCTCTCCGGCTCAGAGAGAGAGACACTTGAACAAAGCTGCATATCAATCGCCGTCCACCAAGGGAGTTGCTAAGCTACACAACACCCACCGCCTCCCACCAGCTGCCCCCGTTACTGAGGAGAGAGAAAGAAGAAAGCGGGAGGAGATGCAGGGGAGGAAAACTGCTGCCATCCTCCCAGATAAGCCAAAACTCCTCTTTTCTTAGTTGCCTTGACAGCCAGCGGAGACGCATGCGGCATGGTGGCCTCAAGTTAGCATGATGGCCTAAAACCAACAAGGTCCTGGGTTTTAACCCCACTGTGTGTGGAATTCCTGCTGTGTACACGATGGCCCCTCAGGTGCTCCCTCCCCAAAAACCAAACAAGTTTTATGGCTTTAAATAATCAATATTAACTGATAATTATAAAACCAACACAGAGTCAGACACTGTCTGGAATCACTGTCTTATATAGGGCAGTGGGCACTATGTTGTCTACAATTTTAATTAACTGTCCTTGGAGTTGCCTTTTACCAAACTTCATGTTACTGTTATTTGTTGACGTCAAACTTGGAGTTGGCTTTTCCCACAGTTCACTTTTTTCTATCTTTATCTGAAAATCTAGAGATACGTTTTTACTAGACAGACAATAATCCTTATTAATCTGCAGTTTTTCAAGTGTTTTGAAACCATTGGTATCCATAATTCTTTGTATGTAATGTAAATGTAATTCTAAAATAATGCTTAATCCCAAATTGGGATAATTAAAAGATAGCGAAGGGCTACTTTGGAGATACAAGCAAGAAATGCACAGGGATATACAAATAATTAAAAAATATATATCAAAAAAAGCATTCGAAAATAAATTCCCACCTTAGCCATCATTTGTTTTTATGTATTTTGCTTTCAGCTAATTTAGCGGCATATATATGAATGTATAAAGTAACTGTACTTTACAAAAAGATCCATTAAATGAACATATTTTTAGCACTGACTAACCTATGCATGTGTTTTGTTCCCTTGTTATAAAGTGTACCTCAAATAAAGTAAATGTGGCCTTCTTCTTTTAAGCCTACTGTTAGTTACGTTAGCATAGCATGCTAATCATCTGTTAAATAGTCTTGACTGCCTTATCACGGGGAACTGTAACATATCACAAATAGTTATTGGGTTAGACCTGCAAAATGCTGACACTTTTCTATAAAAAAAGGGTTAACAAAATAAATACAGATTTTGAGTAATTAAACAGGCCTATGCAAATGTGATATGTCATGTAGGCAAAGATTTCAAAAATAAAAGTGCTGTCCTTCATGTGTTTGTGCCCCCAGCTCTCCTCTGTGTGGTCTGACAGCTGGTTTTTACACTTGTCTTGTTCTGTCTCGAGCCTCAGCGGGATGAGGAAACAGACTCAACAGCACAATATCTGTTAGCAGCAACCGCTACCAACACGACAAATCAATGCTAATCAGCTATGCTAACATAGTCCTATCCACATGTGGAGCTCTCTGTCGGCCTGACGCAGAGCCAGAGCGAGGAGTCAGCTCACTGACTGTTTGCTTAGGATCCCAAGACAACAGGGGGGCTTCTGCTTATTACTTGTATTACATTTATACTTATTTATGTTATTATCATGCCATCTAACAAATGGCTTACCATCTTAGGACCTTTGAGGATTTGGGAACATGAGCTATGTTCCTGTAGCTGGTTCGAACGAAGTTGGTTAAATATCTGGATTTGTAAAATGAACGAATGTCTTATAGAATATAATGTTTTCTGATACAGATCCTAAAAGTTAATTGATGATCTTAAGAGGTGTTCGTGGTGAATGTTTTTACTTTGATTGAGCCAAGCTAGCTGCTTCCCGTCTTTTCCCGTCCTGCTTTGATTTATTTAGTTGTATTAAAGGTCTCCTATCATGATATTTGTAGGCATATATTATGGGTCTCAGATATATAAAAATATGTAAAAAAACATGTCTATGATGTGTTTTCCTCAAAATACCAAACAGATCATGCATTTTAGACATCCCTCATATCCCTCTATTTCAGCCCAGTTAGAGAACGGCAGGTTCGGGGTCCTTAGCTTCTCAGCTAAATACTGCCGTGAATAAATGCCATATCATGTCCCAAACCACATCAAGGATTATTTCTGAAACAGTATGGAGCTCAAATGCTTTCTCTCTTGCGGGTTTACTACAAGGTGAGTACCTTTTTTTATTTCCTGCTGTTTTACACATGTGCTATCTCCAGTACAGCGTTAGCTCTGAGTGTTAGCGATGCTTGCTAATGTAAACAAAGACCATATTACGTCAAAAACACGTCAGGCTTTGTTTCTGATAGCAACGTTTCTGATAGTGCCGCGGGTGTAAAGCCAGCCCACATTTCCGATATTACGTCATATCGGACGCACATCTGGATCAGCTTCATTGTTCCCCCATTTTTAGAGATGTGGGTAAGTAGGAAAAGAGAGAGGGTTTTGTTTTCTGACACTTTGTGGGTTCCCTGACACACCAGGGACACATAATTATGTATAAAAGACATACAAAAGTGCATTTTGCATAATAGGTCCCCTTTAACTCAAAAGTTAACTCTATTAGTACACTTTGTATTTTACACAGGCCTCTCGAGTCCTGCTATTTCGTATTGACTTGACTCAAACAGTTGGTTGAAATTACCTGTTGAGTGGACTATTGCACATTTATATCAATTAATTTATCAAAATGGCAGTATTGATTAATGGGTACTGTAGGAGCAAACACAATAGTGGTGGCTTAAAGCCCACCTCTGCTCCGCGCCGTCCTTTAGATGAGCCTCGTCAGATTTAATAAAAGGAGTTCAAAACACCGGCATAAAAGTTATAACAATAATCTGATTTTAATACAGTAAAAAACACAATACGAAATACAGAGTGCCCTGAAACAGAGCACTCCGGGCTCCCCGCTCTACTGCCGTGCGATACAGATATCGGGACCAGCCAGTCAGAAACAGGGAGCATTTTGCATGAAGAAACAACAGTATATATGGACATATTTGGGGCGGAGATGTGTGTCGGCTCTTCCGTCCCATTTTACTCCTAAGCGAATCAGAGAGTCCGTGGGGAGGAGTTTGGGTCGGTTGCTCACTCCCCTAGGTGTTCTTACTGGTTGGATTCACTTTGGGTCGGGCCCAATACAGCGAATCAGAGTTCTGGGAAAAAGTATTTTTCTTCTGAACAGAGCGTGAGAGCCTCAGAACTACAAGGTCAGAATCACTTTTTATCTTACACCTGGGTTAACTCCTTTACTTTCCCAAGAAATATTTCACACAAACTATTCCTTCCCAAACAATCAAACATTGTACACAGATATATTGGTATCAAACATTGTACACAGACATATTGGTGCTTGGGATTATATTGGCCCCAGAAAGAACCTTGAAAAAGAACATGTGTGTGTTAGTGAGGGGAAGTGTATGTGTGTGTGTGTGTGTGTGCTGATAAGCGGAGGCGTATGTGTGTGTGTTGCTGATATCTGGGTTAAGGAGTTTATGTGTGTGTGCTGCATGGAGACAGGAGGTGTAAGTGTGTGTGTCAGGGTCTCTGGGTCATGGAGTGTAAGTAAGAAGGTTTATATATATAGGATTACTTTAAACAGTCCCAAATAATACATGTTCACTTCAATACAGTTCAAGATAATACCTGTTTACTTTAATACAGTTTAGAACAATATCTGGGTGCTTTAGTACCAATTTACAATAAGACTACCCTTATAAAAGATTCATAAAGGGTTTATAATTAGGTTATTAATTAGGTTGCAAACACTTTATTAATCATTAAGAACCATTTATAAACCAGTTCTAGCATAGTTTTCATACATCAACACAGGCTCACTATTTGGCAAGATGACTAATATTGGCACTAGCTTACTTCGTCTTCTTCATCAGCCAGCATCCTTGGTATCTGTTCACTGAGTTGATTCTCCCCCCATCCATCTTGATGTTTCTTGGCATCTCTTTATGACCATTTATTTATGAGTTACTAACATTTATAGCTGCCAAAAGGGAGCCTTGTAAAGTGTTACACAAATCACCATTTATTAATGAGTTACTACCATTTA